TCAGATGGTTTGTTGTTTGACTGCTAGCTTTTTTTTAACATAATTTTTGTTTAATCATTTCTTGGTGATACCCCTGGAGAAGAAGTTGATCTTTGAAGTCTAACAAGCTGGTGAAGCTTCCGATTCTGCCTCCTGACCTGAGATCATAGCACCATCTCCATAGAAAATATACTGTTGAGAGAGCTCTTCTTTGTGCAAGCTCCAGTGCCAGATCTTCACTAAAATTGAAAAGTTTGTTAGTCGGTAATGATACAACAGCACCGTCAGGACAGACCTGCAGACAGGTGAACCTGGACTACTGTCAATAAATTAGTCAGTAATGATACAACAGCACCATCAGGACAGACCTGTAGACAGGTGAACCTGGACTGTGCTGGTCTGGCTACAACAGAAAACCACAGATGTCCATCAGCAAAATCCTTCTTGCTCCTCTCACCGAACTGGTAGCTGAAGTCGGCCATTTGTTCTCGGTTGGCCACAGGAATCACCCGGTCAACCTGCAACAGCAGATGTGTGAGATGCAAAAAATATGTGAAGTATATAGATTTCATTGATACAGATAATAAGTTTCAATATTTAGTCACTCTACATCAAGGAGATCTGACCCTAGATTTCATTGATACAGATAATAAGTTTCAATATTTAGTCACTCTACATCAAGGAGATCTGACCCTAGATTTCATTGATACAGATAATAAGTTTCAATATTTAGTCACTCTACATCAAGGAGATCTGACTCTAGATTTCATTGATACAGATAATAGGTTTCAATATTTAGTCATTCTAAATCAAGGAGATCTGACTCTAGATTTCATTGATACAGATAATAGGTTTCAATATTTAGTCATTCTAAATCAAGGAGATCTGACTCTAGATTTCATTGATACAGATAATAGGTTTCAATATTTAGTCATTCTACATCATGGAGATCTGACTCTAGATTTCATTGATACAGATAATAGGTTTCAATATTTAGTCATTCTACATCATGGAGATCTGACCCTAGATTTCATTGATACAGATAATAGGTTTCAATATTTAGTCATTCTACATCATGGAGATCTGACCCTAGTTTTCAATATTCAGTTCAGTCTTACTACAGTTATGAGATCAGACCCAAGAAATTAAATATTCAGTCATGTTACATTAATTAATTTCAAGATGATAGATTTCAGTGTGCAATCATTTACATCAGTGAGATGATACATGCTAATATTTAGTCCCATTGCCGTACAGAGATAAGACAGATTTTAATAGTGAGTAACATGACATGTCGGAACTAATATAAACTTCAATATTTGGTCACAATACATCAAAAGGCTGACATTACCTGGCCGTCGTCTTCTTCCACAGCAAACCATTTGTTAGCAATGAACAGTTGTTTGACATCAGTCTGGATATCTCGAACCATAATGTAATTCAGATACCAGGAGCCAAACTTGCCTCGGCCGGAGTTGTCGTGCCACACCCTCATAAAATTCAGGTAGCCCAGGGGTCTGAAGTCAAAGATCAATTTCATTACTTGTTTTTACTGTATCAGTATGACTATTTGCTCTATTTTAATGGGGGTTTTTTTTTTTTGGTTTTTTTTATGGGGGGTTGGGGGGGGGGGGGGAAGAAGAGAGAACAAAAACAAATTATCATAAACAAATGAATATGAGCATATCCTGTTTGAAAATGGAACAAACTGTTTTCTTGTGTACCTTAGTATATCAGAGGCAGCAAAATGAGGTCTCATTGTCATGATCTGTCCCTGCAGCACCAGCTGAAGAATCTCTGTGAGCTAGAGTCTAGAATGTTTTCAAAATCTGTTCTCTCAGTTGTCAGTTATTTTGATGGTTATGTCAGTTAATGTCCTCCAGTGGGCTCCAGGGCCCCATCTTTGGCAGAAAGAATAGACCCCTTTTCCATTCACAGGCATGATGTACAAGGTCTAGAACAGACCTACTTTCCATTAACAAGCATGATGTCAAAGGTCCGGTAACATTAGCACAGTCGATAGGAGACTCGCTTTCAAATCCAGCTGCGACTTGCTGCAGCCCATGGTCGGTGTTCAAAACCGGGTCGTTCCCGGGGTTCACCCAGCCTCTAGGAAATGGGTACCAGAGTTGACACTGTGAGTTAAATGGAGGAACGTGGCTATAGCTACAGAGTTACATGACACAGGTAGACAATTTCTTATCAGCTGTCTGTACTGGTGGCAGAGCACTTATGGTTTATAAACATGTGCAATGATTGCTGGTTCACATCTCCCAACTTTACCTTTTTTATGTCCAAGTTTAAGAACAGATCCACCTTCGATTAACAAGCATGATGTACACAAGCCGAATAAATATGGAAGAAGTTCTGAAAGTTTCTGGCTTTCAAAGTTATCCAAACAGCAGACACCTGGGTGGGTCCGGCTATCCTAGTCAGGTGTGGGATAAAAACGTCATCTATAGACATGGGTGCTTGCAGCAGCAATGACATTCAAGTGCAGGCAGTGAAGAAAGACAAAAGTAAACTCTTCACTTTAGTCGTCATACATGCCTGTTTTAAAAAGGTTGACCAAGAAAGGTGGAGGGTCCTAACTGAGATATGCGATCAGTTAAACACCAACATCATCATGTGTGGTGACTTCAATGCAAGGGTCGGCTATGGGGCAACACCACGATATTGTAGTCAGCGGTGGGCAAGTTTAGTCAATTGTGGACAAGTGTAATCAGTTGTGGGCAAGTGTAGGAGGTTGGGGGCAAGTGTAGTCAGCTGTGGGCAAGTGTAGGTAGTTGTGGACAAGTGTAATCAGTTGTGGGCAAGTGTAATCAGTTGTGGACAAGTGTAGGCAGTTGTGGGCAAGTGTAGTCAGTTGCGAGGAAGTGTAGTCAGTTGTGGGCAAGTGTAGGCAGTTGTGGGCAAGTGTAGTCAGTTGTGAGCAAGTGTAGTCAGTTGTGGGCAAGTGTAGTCAGTTGTGGACAAGTGTAGTCAGTTGTGGACAAGTGTAGGCAGTTGTGGGCAAGTGTAGGTAGTTGTGGGCAAGTGTAGGCAGTTGTGGGCAAGTGTAGTCAGCTGTGGGCAAGTGTAGTCAGTTATGGGCAAGTGTAATCAGTTGTGGGCAAGTGTAGGCAGTTGTGGGCAAGTGTAGTCAGTTGCGAGAAAGTGTAGTCAGTTGTGGGCAAGTGTAGGCAGTTGTGGGCAAGTGTAGTCAGTTGTGAGCAAGTGTAGTCAGTTGTGGGCAAGTGTAATCAGTTGTGGGCAAGTGTAGGCAGTTGTGGGCAAGTGTAGTCAGCTGTGGGCAAGTGTAGGCAGTTGTGGGCAAATGTAGGCAGTTGTGGGCAAGTGTAGGTAGTTGTGGACAAGTGTAGGCAGTTGTGGGCAAGTGTAGGCAGTTATGGGCAAGTGTAGGCAGTTGTGGGCAAGTGTAGTCAGTTGTGGACAGGCGCAGTCAGTTGTGGGCAAGTGTAGGCAGCTGTGGGCAAGTGTAGGCAGTTGTGGGCAAGTGTAGTCAGTTGTGGGCAAGTGTAGGCAGTTTTGGACAAGTGTAGGCAGTTGTGGACAAGTGTAGTCAGTTGTGGGCAAGTGTAGTCAGTTGTGGGCAAGTGTAGGCAGTTGTGGACAAGTGTAGGACAGTTGTGGACAAGTGTAGGCAGTTGTGAGCAAGTGTAGTCAGTTATGGGCAAGTGTAGGCAGTTTTGGGCAAGTGTAGTCAGTTGCGAGAAAGTGTAGTCAGTTGTTGGCAAGTGTAGGCAGTTGTGGACAAGTGTAGTCAGTTGTGAGCAAGTGTAGTCAGTTGTGGACAAGTGTAGTCAGTTGTGGGCAAGTGTAGGCAGTTGTGGACAAGTGTAGGCAGTTGTGGGCAAGTGTAGGCAGTTGTGGGCAAATGTTGGCAGTTGTGAGCATGTGTAGTCAGTTGTGGGTAAGTGTAGGCAGTTGTGGACAAGCGTAGGCAGTTGTGGACAAGTGTAGTCAGTTGTGGGCAAGTGTAGTCAGTTGTGGGCAAGTGTAGGCAGTTGTGGACAAGTGTAGGCAGTTGTGGACAAGTGTAGTCAGTTATGGGCAAGTGTAGGCGGTTGTGGGCAAGTGTAGTCAGTTGCGAGAAAGTGCAGTCAGTTGTGGGCAAGTGTAGGCAGCTGTGGGCAAGTGTAGTCAGTTGTGAGCAAGTGTAGTCAGTTGTGAGCAAGTGTAGTCAGTTGTGGGCACGTGTAGGCAGTTGTGGACAAGTGTAGGCAGTTGTGGGTAAGTGTAGGCAGTTGTGGGCAAGTGTAGGCAGTTGTGAACAAGTGTAGTCAGTTGTGGGCAAGTGTAGTCAGTTGTGGACAAGTGTAGGCAGTTGTGAGCAAGTGTTGTCAGTTGTAGGCAAATGTAGGCAGTTATGGGCAAGTGTAGGTGGTTGTGGGCAAGTGTAGGCAGTTATGGGCAAGTGTAGGCAGTTGTGGGCAAGTTTAGTCAGTTATGAGCAAGTGTAGGTAGTTGTGGGCAAGTATAGGCAGTTGTGGACAAGTGTAGTCAGTTGTGGGCAAGTGTAGGCAGCTGTGAGCAAGTGTAGTCAGTTGTGCAGGTGTGTATGTGTGCACATGCCTGCATGTGAGTGTATGTACACATTTACACATGCTTGTGTGTATATGTGTGTGTGTGTGTAATATCTGTATTATTGTATGTGGTTGTATATTAAGAGTGTACATGCATGTGTGTGTAACCTCCCCTATTTTTTCATGTGCTGATGAATGAACTGGTAGTCCAGCAGAGTCTGGGCACACACTTTCACAAGGGCAGCTGCTGTGGCACAATAGTTTGAATGCTGATCTGACAGCCCACCAGTCACAATTTTAAACCCTTAAACTGACCTGGGCTCCTAGGTCAACCAAGTCACAAAATGGCTGCCACAAAATGGCTGCCACAAAATGAAGTACTGGCCACAGTTTATTGATTATAAACAAACAGGACTAGCACCAAATGCCCATAAAATGAAAGCTGGACGTTTGACTTTCTGTCTGGACTAGAACTGTTGACAGATGACCACAAACCTGGGTACTGCCATCAGGAAGCCATCAATTTGGCCTCTCCTGAAGATCTTTCTCTTGCTGTCAGAGAATGCCCGCACATCGGTCTCATCATCTTCACCAGACATGATGAAGCAAACCTGGAGATTAAACAGACATTATAGGAACACCAGACAAGATGAAGCAAACCTAGAGATTAAACAGACATTATGGGAACACCAGACAGAATGAAGCAGACCTGGCGATTAAACAGACATTATAGGAACACCAGACATGATGAAGCAAACCTGGAGATTAAAACAGACATTATGGGAACACCAGACAAGATTAAGCAGACCTAGGGATTAAACAGACATTATGGGAACACCAGACAAGATGAAGCAGACCTGGAGATTAAACAGACAAATTATGCAACACCAGACAAGATGAAGCAGACCTGGAGATTAAACAGACATTATGGAAACACCAGACGTGATGAAGAAAACCTGGAAATTAAACAGATATTATGGGAACACCAGACAGGATGAAGCAGACCTGGAGATTACACAGACATATTAGGAACACCAGACAGGCTGAAGCAGACCTGGAGATTAAACAGAAATTATGGAAACACCAGACAGGATGAAGCAGACCTAGAGATTAAACAGAAATTATGGAAACACCAAACAGGATGAAGCAGACCTATAGATTAAACAGAAATTATGGAAACACCAAACAGGATGAAGCACTGATGTACTGCAACTGAACAAGAAAGAATTGATTTCTTGCCAGTGGGCAAGATAACAAGTAAAATAGAAGATAGTGGAAATCCGACAGTGGAAAGAATGATGCAGTGGGAAGTGTTTGCATGGACTTTTATACCACATGAGACTTGGGTGGGAAAGGCAAGACAAGTAGTTAACCAGATAACACCAGTTAGCATTAGTATGGGGACTCTCTGCTGGCTGTTGAGAGGGAGACTGAACTAATATTGGTTTGTCCTGAATGCTGAGATGACAAATCTTTATCCATATTAAACAAATTGTGTGGAAGTGGTTGTAAAGAAGGTTTCCTCACACAGGTTACACCACACAACACACATCTGGTGTGGGCGAGACGACTGCGTGTAAGTGGTTGTACAGGAGGTTTCCTCACACAGGTTACACCCCACAACACAAATCTGGTGTGGGAGAGAGTTGAGTTGAGTCAAGAATTGACATAACAGCACCCAGGGCATTCCCATCCGTGCTCCATTCTTATCTTCAGCAGCCAGAAATGAGTTCCATTACTGATGGTATCAGTCACAATCTGGTTTAAAGTCCGTCTTGCCTTTCCTCTGAATGTAGTGAGCCGGCCAGACCCTCTGATTACACCCAGGTGCCTCATTCTTTCCAAGCCAAAATAATCTTGTTTCTCTACTGATTCCATTGCTTTTTCCCAAAGAACCTTGACCACATCTGACTTGCCATGTATCAATTCACCACCCAGTGGTGCAGATCCAGCCAATCTGTCTGTCTGTTTTTTCCAACTTTGCAGGCCATGCCTGGAGAAAATATCCAAAGTATGCTTACTACCTGTTACCTTCCCAAGTGAAGCTTGCCCCTCTGCCTGAAGCATCCCTGTCTTTACCTTTCTCAGCATGCCTTCAGAGTCTGTTACATGTGTATGTATCTTGTTCTCTAGCCATCGGAGAGCTGCAGTTACCACCTCTGTCTTCATTCTCATGCTGGATGTTGTGATGTCGTAGGCTAGGCTGTTTGCACTAAAGATTTTCCATTGGCTTTCGCTACGAAACCCCCAGGCACTTCTCTTTCCTCTCACCACCAAACCATCTGTATAAATAATCAAATCACCTGGGCGTGAATTGTTGTGAATCAACTGTTGGACTTCCACCTCTGTAGCACCCGCTGGCCACTCTCTGCACACCCAGCCCAATGTGATCATAACCCCTACACGGGTCAGACTTTTCCTCTGGTACTCTGACCCACTCCTCTCCTCGCCCAATGTTCTCCAGCATGCATACTTGTCTTATTGTATCTTCTGCTTGAGCCATCCACTTCCCCCTTTTTAGCCTCTGACCCTTACCTGCAGTCAAAGCTGCGTGGGAGAGACTGTCTGAGAATGGTTGTGTGGGACTGTTACTGTAACGTGAGCATGAAAAATAAAATAGCATGAAAACTAGCTTGATTAAATGGCAGTGGGAGAAACACAACAGACAGCTTACAACATGCAGCAAGTCTAACACGAGGTGAGGGTGGGTACCTGGGAGTCTGTTCCAGCATTCCGTCTCATGCCTGTACTGACAATAACCTCATAGAAATACTTGTCCCGTGGGTCGTTGTCTGGCAGTGGCGCGATACCCAGCTGTGGAAACACAGACATCAACAGTAAGGTTTTCTGATCAGAATACTGCATTAAACAGCTGCCTAGCCAACCAACACAACAACATTAAATGGAATGACACAACCATTTAGCCAACAAACACAGCAACATCCCATATTGCAGAATTAAAGAACTGTTTAGTAGTCAATCATGAATTCAATACTGTTTAGTCAACGATGAGTTCAATATGTTTAGTCAACCGTGAATTAAACAACTGTTTAGTCAAAACAAAACCTTTCAATAAGTCAATCCAGTCATGGTTTTTCTAGTGTATCACTAGAATCATGGATCAGGCCAGTGCTCTTGTCCCACCCCATGTACATGGCCAAACCATCCAGAAATTTATCTGTTTGGTTTTTTTCCCCCATTGTTCTTTTTTTTAAATTTATATTAATCTTGTCAGTTTTCACCAAGCTCTCGAGTGTGTCCCTTTCTCATGAGGATTTCAGAAGACCTGAGGTTAGATCAGATAAAATATTTAAGAATGTGTGAACGAGGAATTAGAAGTAGATGGCGGTATGAGAGAAAGAGAACCATGTGTGTATCATCAGTGTGCTACGGGAACAGTCAGCATCTACACCTTAGGAAACTTGCTGCAGGAGAAGGAGCACCTATGGTTATGACCGGTGTGTTACGGGAACAGTCAGCATCTACACCTTAGGAAACTTGCTGCAGGAGAAGTAGCACCTATGGTTATGCCCGGTGTGCTATGATGTTGATGCTTAAATTAATAGTTGTTCAGATTACAGAAAAACTCAAATAGCTTGTAGCTTGACAAAAACAGCGGGAGCCTCTGCACAAATAAATGCAGGTAATACAGGTCTACAATGAGGAGGCTGTTGATTTTAATTGTTAAACCTTCAGCCATTCCCATCCATCAGTCGCCTATTCGGTGTGTGGTAAACCACTTGGAAAGCACTGTGCTTGTCAATTATGTGTCCAGAATGAAGCAAACGGCATATACAAAAACATCTGGTCTTTTAAACTGATAATTATATTGCTTTAAGAAATAGTCTAACTTATCTGTGGACATACTTACAAGCATACAATTGCTACATGGCTCACCTTCTCTGCCAGTTTTTTATCCTTGTAGCGGGCCAAGATGGCGAAGATGATGTAGAGGGCAGCAGTGACGATGACAGTGATGTAGATAGTGGGATTTGTGAGGAAGTCGGCATTGGCGAAGACATAGCTCCAGTCAATGGTGTTGGGAACCACCACCCAGCCACCAGCGAACGTGGTCAAGTGAGTACAGTAGCAGACTACCTGGAACCAGGATGTCTCGATGCCCACCTGTGCATGACAGAAGCAAATTAGTCTGGACATTGTGGCCGCAGTTCTGATGGTCAATTGCTGTTCTGATGGTCAATGAGAGTTCTGATGGTAAATGACAGTTGTAATAGTCAATGACAGTTCTGATAGTAAATGACAGTTGTAATGGTCAATGACAGTTCTGATAGTAAATGACAGTTATGAAGAGCTAGCAACATCAAGCAACCTTATTCCTGCTGTGCATAAAGGTAAAGGTAAAGTCGGGAGATGTGAACCAGCGTCATTGCACACGGTTATAAACCATAAGTGCTCTGCCTCCAGTACAGACAGCTGATAAGAAACTGTCCGCCTGTGTCGCTGTCCGCACGTAACTCTGTAGCTACAGCGACGTTCCTCCATTTACCCCAGAGTGTCACTCTGGTACCCATTTCCTAGAGGCTGGGTGAACCCCGGGAACCGCCTGGTTTAGAACACCGACCCTGGCTGCAGCGAGTCGCAGCTGGATTTGAAAGCGAGCTTCCTATCGACGACGCTAACATGGCTCTCTCTGCTGTGCATATGTGGGGCTAGTCATGGTCCCTGCACACCTGGACTGTGGCACATCTGAAGAGTGTGGGCTGATGTGTGAGGACAGATCAAGTCGACAATTACTACACTAATCCTGCTAACAGAATAACTCCAATACCTAGCGAGCTACCCACAAAAATTACTGCCCCAAATACTATTTCTGTTGAATACTGTACAACACTGTGATAATACTACTGTCCAGCTAAACGCATTATTACACAGACTATCGGTCACTATGCTTAAACTAAAACAGACTATAATTCTAACGGACACAATCTAATACAAGTCGAACAGTCCCAATGTCAGGTTCATAACTAATTTCAGTCCAAACCCGTCCGTTTTGTAATTCGTCACAGTTCAGTCGCCGGTCCACAAAACTAATACAGTAAATAAAAGTAAGTGACTTTCTCTCTTTCTATCACTGAGTGTTTCTACAAGCAGGTGTCTGTGTGTTTGTCTGCGTTTGTCTACAGGTATGTGTCTGTGTGTTTGTCTGCATGTGTCTACAGGTATGTGTCTCTGCGTGTGACTGCGTGTGACTGCGTGTGACTGCGTGTGTGTCTGTGTTTGAGTGTGTGTCTTTGTTGTGTATATGTGTATGTTAATGTTGTGTATATACGTATGTGTCTGAGTGTGTCTTTGTATGTGTGTTTGTGTGTCAGAGGGAGTGTCTGTCTGTGTTTATGTGTGTGTGTCTGCCTGTGTATATGTGTGCTTTTTAATGTCTGTGTGTGTCTGTGTGTATATGTCTGTGTGTGTATGTCTGTGTGTGTCTGAGTCTGTGTGTCTGCAGGTGTATGTATGTCTGTGTGTATGTATGTCAGTTTGTACCTATGTGTGTGAGTAAGTGAGTGAGTGTGAGTGGGCGTGTGCATTGTGTGTGTGTGTGTGTGCATGCGTGAGTGTGAATGCATTTTACTACCCATGATTTTGTGTTTTTGCTTGATATTCATAATATGCATACTATTATATGTACATAACATGCTTTATTGATAAAATACAAATGCTGTGTAAAAATTGGGGGCTTGGAACAGCCAAATGTAAGGCAGGCATATGTGCCCAATGTGTGACCCTTTGAAAATAAAAATGTGTTCGTTCGTTTGTTTGTTCAATTGCTAAGATGCTGGCTCTCTTGGCTTCAGTCATGTGCAGACATCACAGGCGCACATCGACATCCACTTCAGCATGTCGAAACACTAAGACTGCAAACCAACAGCTGATGCTAACATCAATGTTTATTTAGGTATACAATCGCTTCCAAACTAGTGCACTCTGCGGTAACAGTCCACGGATTATAACATAACAGCAAAATACAGTTCAAAGGAACATTTACCTTTACACACCATTCTTGGAACCCAAAACGAGACTATTCTAGCTCCTTCCAGTTTTAAATAATCTTTCTCACCCACATTCTAACTCAACCACACCCGTGATTTTCATGCTCTCCCATTTGGTACCCGTTAAACAATTTTGCCATTTGGCCAACATTTTCCGTGCACCATGATTCGTCCTCAGTTAACTCAAATACATTATTCTTATTCATGATTTGGCATCACTCCTACTGCAATCATAATTATCGAGTAGAAAATAATTGACTACAGTAAGCAACCCTTGTCTCCACAACTATAACCTGGGAGTATGGTCGTAGAGCCATGGATCCTAGAGCCATGGATCCTAGAGCCATGGGTCCTAGAGCCATGGGTCCTAGAGCCATGTTTGTTCAGGCCGGCAGTCAATGGAAGGCTGATGTGATCAAGATCATGATGGAGTTACTTCCCACGCCATCTCAGGGTAGCCACTATAGGGTTTACTACAGAAAATGGTCAACTCCTTTTGTTGTCTATAGAACTGACAATGCTTACTTTTGTTGTCTACAGAACTGACAATGCTTACTTTTGTTGTCTATAGAACTGACAATGCTTACTTTTGTTGTCTATAAAACTGACAATGCTTACTTTTGTTGTCTATAGAAACTGACAATGCTTACTTTTGTTGTCTACAGAACTGACAATGCTTACTTTTGTTGTCTATAGAACTGAAAATGACCGAATTCTTCTGTTGTCTATAGAACTGAAAATGACCAAATTCTTTTGTTGTCTATAGAACTGAAAATGACCAAATTCTTTTGTTGTCTATAGAACTGAAAATGACCAAATTCTTTTGTTGTCTATAGAACTGACAATGCTTGCTGTTGTTGTAGCTATGGGCAGAACTGAAATTATCTGCAGAAATGTTTAGAGAGAGAAAGCCATAAAACTAGTCAATCTCAACTGGGAAAAAATAAAGATGGCAAGAAGTGAGCTGGTCACCTCATGTCATACAATCATGACTAACATATGTGACCTGCTTCCAATGCCAACAGCATCTTGTACAGAGAGAATACCTCTTCCTGTCACTACAGCTCCAGCCTGACCAGATAGTTTCTACCTACTTACCACACATCCGTTTGTAGTCCAGTCTGTTTGAGTGTCGCTGATCACCAGACACTGAGTCACATAGATTCGAACACTGAAGTTTCCTGTAAAATAGTTGGTGCCGTTAGCGTATCGAGGCAGCGAGACACAGCCCTTGCTGAGATCCATGTCAAACTCTGTTGAGTTGAGTTCCCGTATTCCAATGTATACCACACCCGTAAAATTGCCAATTATGGTGTTGTTTATGTAGAACCGGTAGCGGTTTTTGTCATCTAAATCTGAAGAGAATGGAAAAATTATTATATTATTCCAAAATAAAAGAGGTAACTGTGCATGATAAATTTAACCTCAGAACAAAAGAGTTAACCATAATGGTGAATCTGCTGTCACAACAGAAGAGTTAATTGTGATGGTGAATAACCTCACAACAGAAGAGTTAACCATGATGGTAAATCCAACGTTACAACAGAAGAGTTTTTGTGATGGTGAATCTAACCTCACAACAGAAGAGTTACCCATGACTGTGAATCCAATGTCACAACAGAAGAGTAAACTGTGCAGGGTGAATCTAAATTCACAAAATAACAGTTAACTGTGCATGGTAAATTTAACCTCACAGATGGAGGGTTCATTGTAATAGTAAATCTAACCTCATAACAGAAGAGGTAACTGAGCAGTTTGATGGCAATTTCATAATTTTGTGTCTATGTTAAATGAAAAAAGTGAAATAAAATAATTTATATTTTAAGAAACAAAATTATAAAATGAATGTAATATCAACATGTATCTTCTTCCAAAAAATCTTTTTGTCTTACTCTTTCCTTTTATTTTTAACTTGCCTGTGACCTTCTGAGTGCTTTTTTTTTTTTTCTCTATATTTACGTTAACATTACAAATTTGTTTATATTATGGTTTATAATTTGTTTAACACAGCAACTATACAACTTTAATCAGCAAAACATGTAACAACCACAAAACAGCAATGCAGTGAATAGAGACAAAGATTTCCCCTTAGTAAAGGCAAGTAAAGTATCCTTCTGATCTAGCTGCTATACCATGCTGCTCTCCATGACCTTCTGATCTAGCCACTATACCATGCTGCTCTCCATGACCTTCTGATCTAGCCGCTATACTATGTTGCTCTCCATGACCTTCTGATCTAGCCGCTATACCATGCTGCTCTCCATGACCTTCTGATCCAGCTGCTATACCATGCTGCTCTCCATGACCTTCTGATCTAGCTGCTATACCATGCTGCTCTCCATGACCTTCTGATCTAGCCACTATACCATGCTGCTCTCAGTGACCTTCTGATCTAGCCGCTATACCATGCTGCTCTCCATGACCTTCTGATCCAGCTGCTATACCATGCTGCTCTCTATGACCTTCTGATCGAGCTGCTATACCTTGCTGCTCTCTATGACCTTCTGATCTAGCCGCTATACCATGCTGCTCTCCATGACCTTCTGATCCAGCCGCTATACCATGCTGCTCTCCCTGACCTTCTGATCTAGCCGCTATACCATGCTGCTCTCCATGACCTTCTGATCTAGCCGCTATACCATGCTGCTCTCCATGACCTTCTGATCTAGCCGCTATACCATGCTGCTCTCCATAACCTTCTGATCTAGCCACTATACCATGCTGCTCTCCATGACCTTCTGATCTAGCTGCTATACCATGCTGCTCTCCATGACATTCTGATCTAGCTGCTATACCATGCTGCTCTCCATGACCTTCTGATTCAGCTGCTATACCATGCTGCTCTCCATGACCTTCTAATCTAGCCACTATACCATGCTGCTCTCCATGATCTTCTGATCCAGCCACTATACCATGCTGCTCTCAATGACCTAATCTAGCTGCTATACCATGCTGCTCTTAGTGACCTAATCTAGCTGTTATACCATGCTGCTCTCCATGACCTAATCTAGCTGCTATACCATGTTGCTCTCCATGACCTAATCTAGCTGCTATACCATGCTGCTCTCCATGACCTAATCTAGCTGCTATACCATGCTGCTCTCCATGACCTTCTGATCTAGCCACTATACCATGCTGCTCTCCATGACCTAATCTAGCTGCTATACCATGCTGCTCTCGATTACCTTGTGATCCAGCTGCTATACCATGCTGCTCTCCATGACCTTCTGATCTAGCTGCTATACCATGCTGCTCTCCATGACCTTGTGATCCAGCTGCTATACCATGCTGCTCTCCATGACCTTGTGATCTAGCTGCTATACCATGCTGCTCTCCATGACCTTCTGATCTAGCTGCTATACCCTGCTGCTCTCCATGACCTTCTAATCTAGCCACTATACCATGCTGCTCTTCATGTCCTAATCTAGCTGCTATACCATGCTGCTCTCCATGACCTTCTGATCTAGCTGCTATACCATGCTGCTCTCCATGACCTTCTGATCTAGCCGCTATACCATGCTGCTCTCCATGACCTTTTGATGTAGCCACTATACTATGCTGCTCTCCATGACCTTCTGATCTAGCTGCTATACCATGCTGCTCTTCATGACCTAATCTAGCTGCTATACCATGCTGCTCTCTATGACCTTCTGATCCAGCCACTATACCATGCTGCTCTCCATGACCTAATCTAGCTGCTATACCAAGCTGCTCTCCATGACCTTGTGATCCAGCTGCTATACCATGCTGCTCTCCATGACCTTCTGATCTAGCTGCTATACCATGCTGCTCTCCATGACCTTGTGATCCAGCTGCTATACCATGCTGCTCTCCATGACCTTGTGATCTAGCTGCTATACAATGCTGCTCTCCATGACCTTCTAATCTAGCCACTATACCATGCTGCTCTTCATGTCATAATCTAGCTGCTATACCATGCTGTTCTCCATGACCTTCTAATCTAGCTGCTATACCATGCTGCTCTCCATGACCTTCTAATCCAGCTGCTATACCATGCTGCTCTCCACTCCATGACCTTCTAATCCAGCTGCTATACCATTCTGCTCTCCATGACCTTCTGATCTAGCTGCTATACCATGCTGCTTTCCATGACCTTCTGATCTAGCTGCTATACCATGCTGCTCTCCATGACCTTCTGATCTAGTTGCTATACCATGCTGCTCTCCATGACCTTCTAATCCAGCTGCTATACCATGCTGCTCTCCATGACCTTCTGATCTAGCTGCTCTCCATGACCTTCTAATCCAGCTGCTATACTATGCTGCTCTCCATGACCTTCTAATCCAGCTGCTATACCATGCTGCTCTCCATGACCTTCTGATCTAGCTGCTATACCATGCTGCTCTCCATGACCTTCTGATCTAGCTGCTATACCATGCTGCTCTCCATGACCTTCTAATCCAGCTGCTATACCATGCTGCTCTCCATGACCTTCTGATCTAGCCGCTATACCATGCTGCTCTCCATGACCTTCTGATCTAGCCACTATACCATGCTGCTCTCCATGACCTTCTGATCTAGCTGCTATACCATGCTGCTCTCCATGACCTTCTAATCTAGCTGCTATACCATGCTGCCCTCCATGACCTTCTAATCTAGGTGCTATACCATGCTGCTCTCCCTGACCTTCTGATCTAGCTGCTATACCATGCTGCCCTCCATGACCTTCTGATCTAGCTGCTATACCATGCTGCTCTCCATGACCTTCTAATCTAGCTGCTATACCATGATACTCTCCATGACCTTCTGATCTGGCCGCTATACCATGCTGCCCTCTATGACCTTCTAATCCAGCCACTATACCATGCTGCTCTCCATGACCTTCTAATCCAGCCACTATACCATGCTGCCCTCCATGACCTTCTAATCCAGCCACTATACCATGCTGCTCTCCATGACCTTCTAATCCAGCCACTATACCATGCTGCTCTCCATGACCTTCTGATCTAGCCACTATACCATGATACTCTCCTTGACCTTCTGATCTAGCTGCTATACCATGCTGCTCTCCATGACCTTCTGATCTAGCTGCTATACCATGCTGCTCTCCATGACCTTCTAATCTAGCCGCTATACCATGATACTCTCCTTGACCTTCTGATCTAGCTGCTATACCATGCTGCTCTCCATGACCTTCTGATCTAGCTGCTATACCATGCTGCTTTCCATGACCTTCTAATCTAGCTGCTATACCATGATACTCTCCATGACCTTCTGATCTAGCCACTATACCATGATACTCTCCATGACCTTTTGATCTAGCCACTATACCATGCTGCTCTCCATGACCTTCTGATCTAGCCACTATACCATGATACTCTCCATGACCTTCTGATCTAGCCACTATACCATGATACTCTCCATGACCTTCTGATCTAGCCACTATACCATGATGCTCCCACACTAAATAAAGATTATATAAAATACAAAAAAAAATAATTAGACTAGGACATGTAATTAATTACCTATAACAAACTTGGAGAAAGTAAGTGAAAAATGAGAGCAATGACAGAAAAACACAGAGTGCTTACTTTCCGTCATGGACTGAGGCAACAAAGTCACGTAATCACATTGATCATCAGTAGGGTCTATGGCAATTATTGGTAGTTTCCCAAACTTGGCCATCATCAAAAATTGTCTATCTTTTCTCAGACCAGGGAATTCTGCAATGACAGCTGACTGGGGTCTGTCCACATTGACCACGTAGATCATGATGTTGTTCCACGAGGCTATAATGGGATTGGTGTCCTCCGATTTAGGCTCTTTGATATTGGCATCTGCTGGAATTATGACCTTCATTGGTTCTGGCAGCGTCTGCACTGAAATCTGGCAAATAAAAAATGACCGCTGTATGACAGATTGAACCATTGCTGTACGACAAATTCAATTACTGTTGTGCATTGCTTCAACCATTGCTGTACAATAGATTCAACCACAGTTACTCTTTTAACCATTGTTACAGATTCAGCTACTGTTGACTGCTAATCAGATAGTTACAACCAGCTAAAACTAATGGCTACAACTCACAACCGTCTAAGATAAATTTGTAGACCTATTTGCTCAGTATAACCCTGTTATAAATGTCCCTCTCACTATATCCATGTTATCAATGTCCCCCTCACTATATCTCTGTTATAAATGTCCCTCTCACTATATCCCTGCTATCAATGTCCCTCTCACTATATCCCTGTTATCAATGTCTCTCTCACTATATCCGTGCTATCAATGTCCCTGTCACTATATCTCTGCTATCAATGTCCCTCTCACTATATCTCTGCTATCAATGTCCATTCACTATATCTCTCTATCAATGTCCCTCTCACTACATCTCTGTTATCAATGTCCCTCTCACTATATCCCTGTTATCAATGTCCCTCTCACTATATCTCTCAATCAATGACCCTCTCACTATATCTCTGCTATCAATGTCCCTCTCACTATATCTCTCTATCAATGTCCCGCTCACTATATCCCTGCTATCAATGTCCCTCTAACTATATCCCTACTATCAATGTCCCCCTCACTATATCTTTGTTATCAATGTCCCTCTCACTATATCCCTGTTATCAATGTCCCTCTCACTATATTCCTGTTCTCAATTCCCTCTCACTATATCCATGTTATCAATGTCTATCTTACTATATACCTTTTATCAATATCCCTTTCAGGAAATCCATGTTCTCAATGTCCCTCTCAGTATATCCCTGTTATCAATGTCCCTCTCAGTATATCCCTGTTCTCAATGTCCCTCTCAGTATATCCCTGTTCTCAATGTCCCTCTCAGTATATCCCTGTTATCAATGTCTCTCTTACTATATTTATGTTATCAATGTCATTCTCAGTATATCTCTGTTATCAATGTCTCCCTTACTATATTTATGTTATCAATGTCTCTCTTACTATATTTATGTTATCAATGTCTCTCTTACTATATTTATGTTATCAATGTCTCTCTTACTATATTTATGTTATCAATGTCTCTCTTACTATATTTATGGAATCAATGTCTCTCTTACTATATTTATGGAATCAATGTCTCTCTTACTATATTTATGTTATCAATGTCTCTCTTACTATATTTATGTTATCAATGTCTCTCTTACTATATTTATGTTATCAATGTCTCTCTTACTATATTTATGTTATCAATGTCTCTCTTACTATATTTATGTTATCAATGTCTCTCTTACTATATTTATGGAATCAATGTCTCTCTTACTATATTTATGTTATCAATGTCTCTCTTACTATATTTATGTTATCAATGTCTCTCTTACTATATTTATGTTATCAATGTCTCTCTTACTATATTTATGTTATCAATGTCTCTCTTACTATATTTATGTTATCAATGTCTCTCTTACTATATTTATGGAATCAATGTCTCTCTTACTATATTTATGGAATCAATGTCTCTCTTACTATATTTATGTTATCAATGTCTCTCTTACTATATTTATGGAATCAATGTCTCTCTTACTATATTTATGGAATCAATGTCTCTCTTACTATATTTATGGAATCAATGTCTCTCTTACTATATTTATGGAATCAATGTCTCTCTTACTATATTTATGTTATCAATGTTCCCCTCACTATATGCATGTTATCAATGTCATTCTCAGTATATCTCTGTTATCAATGTCTCCCTTACTATATTTATGTTATTAATGTATCTCTTACTATATTTATGTTATCAATGTCTCTCTTACTATATTTATGTTATCAATGTCTCTCTTACTATATTTATGTTATCAATGTCTCTCTTACTATATTTATGTTATCAATGTCTCTCTTACTATATTTATGTTATCAATGTCTCTCTTACTATATTTATGTTATCAATGTCTCTCTTACTATATTTATGTTATCAATGTCTCTCTTACTATATTTATGTTATCAATGTCTCTCTTACTATATTTATGTTATCAATGTCTCTCTTACTATATTTATGTTATCAATGTCTCTCTTACTATATTTATGTTATCAATGTCTCTCTTACTATATTTATGTTATCAATGTCTCTCTTACTATATTTATGTTATCAATGTCTCTCTTACTATATTTATGTTATCAATGTCTCTCTTACTATATTTATGTTATCAATGTCTCTCTAACTATATCCATGTCTCTCTCCCTATGTCCCTAACATTACTGTCCTATACTTTTCCATCACATTCACATCTTATGTATTTAGCTCAAAGCTTTTATTGTTAAATATTTAAATTATGCAGAAGTGACCAATGTCCTACCTTGGTGTTGTTTTGGCTGTACAGACTAATGGTGATAAAATTGCTGTAGGGTGAGATGCCTTTTGCCATTTCAGAGTATTTGAGAGGATAATCTGTTGACTGGGACACCTGTGGATGCATGAAATCAGAAAACATAAACTGACTGGCGAGCCATGGGCTGTGAGTCTCATGCCTCCTCATAGCACAATATAACACTATCTTCTGAAAAGAGGGAAAGGTGCCAATCATCATCGGATACTTGAAATTAGAAAACAGACACTGAGTGGGAGACTTGTCAGAACAAGAACTTTGACTTAGAAGCATTTAGTACCAAAAAATCAGCAGCCTCTCTCAAAAACTTCACTCTCCATAGACACTTCCACAGTTCTACACTTTCTAAAACTAACACTGCCTTGATCCTGCAATCCTGAGATTTATCTTTCTCTTCCTCCACCTGTTTCAACCAGCTTTTAGACAGAATACAATTGCCATATGAAAGATGGGAGATATGAGGTTAAAGGCTGAATGCAAGAAAAACTTGTGTTCCCAGTTTGTCAAAAAAAAAAAAAAGTTTTTTTATTCATTTGTTTGTTAGCTTTCTATAAATCCACGGTTATCTAGCTGTTCCAAGATCCATTATTATTTCAAGCTTTTCCTAGATCCATCACAAGATTCGTCACAAGATCCAATACTAGATCCATTACTAGATCTAGCTTTTCCCAGATCCACAACTGTGTCCAGCTCTTTCTAGATCCACAACTGTGTCCAGCTCTTTCTAGATCCACAACAGTGTCCAGCTCTTTCTAGATCAACAACTGTGTCCAGCTCTTCCTAGATCCACAACAGTGTCCAGCTCTTCCTAGATCCACAACAGTGTCCAGCTCTTTCTAGATCCACAACTGTGTCCAGCTCTTTCTAGATCCACAACTGTGTCCAGCTCTTTCTAGATCCACAACTGTGTCCAGCTCTTTCTAGATCAACAACTGTGTCCAGCTCTTTCTAGATCAACAACTGTGTCCAGCTCTTCCTAGATCCACAACTTCCTACATCTACCACTAAAACCTTTAAAAGATCCATCATTAGATCCCACTTTTCCTAAATCCCACCACTAGTTCAAACTTTTCCTTGATGAACTAGACATAAACTAACCATAGAATGATTTGACTTAACCTAGGTATTGATTAACAGGCTTGAGAACAAAACTAACACAAAATGGTTTGTCTAATACTAGGCATTGATGTCTATCAATGCCTAGTATTAGACAAACCATTTTGTGTCTTGACAACAGAGTTGAAATAAAATGGCTTGTATAATTATAGACATTAACAGACATGCCAGACAAAAAAGTAAACACAAAAAATGTTGCCTTATTCTCACTATAACAGACAGTCTTAATAACAGTAATGACACAGTATCCCATAACGCAACAAAAAAACTTGAGCGAACCAATATTATAATCAATAAAATGACAACCATACCGCAACAACAACAGATTCTTCACTGTCCAAGCCATTCAGGAATGATGTATTAGGGAAGATAACTCCACCAGAAGATCCAGGGGCTAGCAGTTGCATACCGCTGAGCTCTTCAACACTGGTCTTCTCCAGAACTTGCTTCATTTTCAGGGAATTACACTCCAGTGTCTGTCAGAGATGTATACAATACATGTACACAATCTATACTGTAGCATGGGTTAGTTTAATGTCTGTCAGAGATGTATACAATACATGTACACAATCTATTCTGTAACATGAGTCAGTTCAATGTCTGTCAGAGATGTACACATATATGTACACAATCTATACTGTAGCATGAGTCAGTTCAATCAATGTCTGTAAGAGATGTACACAATATATGTACACAATCTATACTGTAACTTGGGTCAGTGCAATGTCTGTCAGAGATGTACACAAACTGAATTGTAGTCTGATTCAACGCAATGTTTGTCAAATATATACACAATCTGCCAGAACCTCTCGTTACATCCCGCTGCATCAATTTCACCAGACTGTGGTGATCCATCTGCTCCTTGGAACTGTACACACTCTCCCACAAGGCACTAACCACGTCTGCCTTTTCATGCATCAGTTTTCCACCAAGTTGTGCAGAGCCAGCCAGTCTGTCTGCCTGTTCATTTCCCAACGCACCGGCGTAACCCAGTAAAAAATATCCAGACACTACTACTCCACACAGACAGTAGTGACAGACAGCAGTGACAGTTTTAGTACAATAATAAATGTGAATATTATCAACCTTGTACAATAATATCTGTGAATATAACAAACTGTACAACAATAACTGTGAATAAAACAAATGTGTGAAACAATAACAGTGAATGCAACAGACCTGTACAACAATAACTGTGAATATAACAAATGTTTACAACAATAACTGCAAATACAACAAACACGTATAACAAAAACAGTGGTTATAACAAACATGTACAATAATAACAGTGAATGCAACAAACATGACTATCACATAGCAGTGACAGTTTTAGTACAATAATAAATGTGAATATTATCAACCTTGTACAACAATATCTGTGAATATAACAAACTGTACAACAATAACTGTGAATAAAACAAATGTGTGAAACAATAACAGTGAATGCAACAGACCTGTACAACAATAACTGTGAATATAACAAATGTTTACAACAATAACTGCAAATACAACAAACACGTATAACAAAAACAGTGGTTATAACAAACATGTACAATAATAACAGTGAATGCAACAAACATGACTATCACATAGGACTATCACATGGGATTTTCACATAGGACTATAAAATTGGACTATCACATTGGACTGTCACATGGTAATATCACATTGGACTATCACATGGGACTATCACAGGGGACTATCACATGAGACTATCACATGGATTCAACACAGGGTCTATCACATGGAACTATCGAATGGGACTATCACATGGATCTAACACATGGGTCTATCACATAGGACTATCACATTGGACTATCACATGGGACTATCACAAGAATCTAACACATGGGTCTATCTCATGGAACTATCACACTGGACTATCACATAGAACTATCACATAGAACTATCACATTGGACTATCACATGGGTCTACCACATGGGACTATTACATGGGACTATCACATGAATATAACACGTGGGACTATCACATGGATCTAACACATGGTTCTAACACATGGGTCTATCTCATTGGATTATCACATTGGACTATCACATAGGACTGTTACATGGGACTATCACATGAATATAACACATGGAACTATCATGTGGGACTATCACATGGGACTAACACATGGTTCTAACACATGGGTCTATCACATAGGATTATCACATTGGACTATCACATAGGACTATTACATGGGACTATCAAAGGGGTCTATCACACTGGTCTATCACATAGGTCTATAAGAGACAAGTACAACAAAGATACATGGACTCACTTGGCCTGAGACACTCATGAGAGAGAAGCATGCAACCTGTTGATCCAGAACTTGCAGAAGCTGTTCTCGTGCCTCCTGAGACTGTTCAATGAAAACACAATACATTATTGTGGGTTACTCTCAACAGAAAACACAATACATTATTGTGGGTTACTCTCAGACAGAAAACACAATACATTATTGTGGGTTACAGACATACATTATTGTGGGTTACTCTCAGACAGAAAACACAATACATTATTGTGGGTTACTCTCAGACAGAAAACACAATACATTATTGTGGGTTACTCTCAGACAGAAAACACAATACATTATTGTGGGTTACTCTCAGACAGAAAACACAATACATTATTGTGGGTTACTCTCAGACTGAAAACACAATAAATTATTGTGGGTTACTCTTAGACTGAAAAACACAATACATTATTGTGGGTTACTCTCAGACAGAAAACACAATACATTTTGTGGGTTACTCTCAGACAGAAAACACAATACATTATTGTGGGTTACTCTCAGACAGAAAACACAATACATTATTGTGGGTACTCTCAGACTGAAAACACATACATTATTGTGGGTTACTCTCAGACAGAAAACACAATACATTATTGTGGGTTACTCTCAGACAGAAATCACAATACATTATTGTGGGTTACTGTCAGACTGAAATTGTCATTGTTCTTTGACCTTTTTTTTTCTTTCAGAACCATTGTTGTCAATAATTACTATTATTTTGTTTTAAAAGATATGGTCACTGAAAATTTGAATAAATTATTACTCAAGGATTATCTCACTGTAAATTTGCATTGCATAAATTATTTCTCACAGATGAAGACATTACAAATTTGTATAGATCTTTTTTATAAGTGGACATCCTAGATAATGTGAACTTCAGGAAAACTTGGCTTGTAAACAGATTCTTGTCTCAAAACATATAAAATGACACAGTGCATTAGAATTGATCCAGTAGTGGAAAGCACTGTGCTAGGTAAGAAGGGCAGGGGTAGACCAGCAAGAAGATGTGCTGGAAAGTGCATGAGGAGGGAGAACTAGTGAGATAATGAGTTTCTTTCAGTCATGCTATGACAAGAGCAATGTTCTGTAAGGGACATATAACATGATGATAATTAAGTTTATATAAATCCTTACTCAAAAACTGACTTTCATTGTCCACATTTTTCAGTTCTTGTTCAGAGATTCACTGTCATTGTCCATATTCTTCAGTTCTTGTTCAGAGATTCACTGTCATTGTCCACATTCTTCAGTTCTTGTTCAGAGATTCACTGTCATTGTCCACATTCTTCAGTTCTTGTTCAGAGATTCACTGTCATTGTCCACATTCTTCAGTTCTTGTTCAGAGATTCACTGTCATTGTCCACATTCTTCAGTTCTTGTTCAGAGATTCACTGTCATTGTCCACATTCTTCAGTTCTTATTCAGAGACTGGCTGTCATTGTCCACATTCTTCAGTTCTTGTTCAGAGATTCACTGTCATTGTTCACATTTTTCAGTTCTTGTTCAGAGACTGGCTGTCATTGTCCACATTCTTCAGTTCTTGTTCAGAGATTCACTGTCATTGTTCACATTTTTCAGTTCTTGTTCAGAGATTCACTATCAATGTCCACAGTCTTCAGTTTTTGTTCAGAGATTCACTGTCATTGTTCACATTCTTCAGTTCTTGTTCAGAGATTCACTGTCATTGTCCACATTTTTCAGTTCTTGTTCAGAGATTCACTGTCATTGTTCATATTCTTCAGTTCTTGTTCAGAGACTGGCTGTCATTGTCCACATTCTTCAGTTCTTGTTCAGAGATTCACTGTCATTGTTCACATTTTTCAGTTCTTGTTCAGAGATTCACTGTCATTGTCCACAGTCTTCTGTTCTTATTCAGAGACTGGCTGTCATTGTCCACATTCTTCAGTTCTTGTTCAGAGATTCGATGTCATTGTCTACATTCTTCAGTTCTTGTTCAGAGATTCACTGTCACTGTCCACATTCTTCAGTTCTTGTTCAGAGATTCACTGTCATTGTCCACAGTCTTCAGTTCTTGTTCAGAGATTCACTGTCATTGTCCACATTCTTCAGTTCTTGTTTATAGATTTACTGTAATTGTCCACATTCTTCAGTTCTTGTTCAGAGATTCACTGTCATTGTCCATATTCTTCAGTTCTTGTTCAGAGATTCACTGTCATTGTCCATATTCTTCAGTTCTTGTTCAGAGATTCACTGTCATTGTCCACATTCTTCAGTTCTTGTTCAGAGATTCACTGTCATTGTCCACATTCTTCAGTTCTTGTTCAGAGATTCACTGTCATTGTCCATATTCTTCAGTTCTTATTCAGAGATTCACTGTCATTGTCCACATTCTTTAGTTCTTATTCAGAGATTCACTGTCATTGTCCACATTCTTCAGTTCTTATTCAGAGATTCACTGTCATTGTCCACATTCTTCAGTTCTTATTCAGAGACTGGCTGTCATTGTCCACATTCTTCAGTTCTTGTTCAGAGATTCACTGTCATTGTTCACATTTTTCAGTTCTTGTTCAGAGACTGGCTGTCATTGTCCACATTCTTCAGTTCTTGTTCAGAGATTCACTGTCATTGTTCACATTTTTCAGTTCTTGTTCAGAGATTCACTGTCATTGTCCACAGTCTTCAGTTCTTGTTCAGAGATTCACTGTCATTGTTCACATTTTTCAGTTCTTGTTCAGAGATTCACTGTCATTGTCCACATTTTTCAGTTCTTGTTCAGAGATTCACTGTCATTGTTCACATTCTTCAGTTCTTGTTCAGAGACTGGCTGTCATTGTCCACATTCTTCAGTTCTTGTTCAGAGATTCACTGTCATTGTTCACATTTTTCAGTTCTTGTTCAGAGATTCACTGTTATTGTCCACAGTCTTCCGTTCTTATTCAGAGACTGGCTGTCATTGTCCACATTCTTCAGTTCTTGTTCAGAGATTCGATGTCATTGTCTACATTCTTCAGTTCTTGTTCAGAGATTCACTGTCACTGTCCACATTCTTCAGTTCTTGTTCAGAGATTCACTGTCATTGTCCACAGTCTTCAGTTCTTGTTCAGAGATTCACTGGCATTGTCCACATTCTTCAGTTCTTGTTTAGAGATTTACTGTAATTGTCCACATTCTTCAGTTCTTGTTCAGAGATTCACTGTCATTGTCCATATTCTTCAGTTCTTGTTCAGAGATTCACTGTCATTGTCCATATTCTTCAGTTCTTGTTCAGAGATTCACTGTCATTGTCCACATTCTTCAGTTCTTGTTCAGAGATTAACTGTCATTGTCCACATTCTTCAGTTCTTGTTCAGAGATTCACTGTCATTGTCCATATTCTTCAGTTCTTATTCAGAGATTCACTGTCATTGTCCACATTCTTCAGTTCTTATTCAGAGATTCACTGTCATTGTCCACATTCTTCAGTTCTTATTCAGAGACTGGCTGTCATTGTCCACAGTCTTCAGTTCTTGTTCAGAGATTCACTGTCATTGTTCACATTTTTCAGTTCTTGTTCAGAGACTGGCTGTCATTGTCCACATTCTTCAGTTCTTGTTCAGAGATTCACTGTCATTGTTCACATTTTTCAGTTCTTGTTCAGAGATTCACTGTCATTGTCCACAATCTTCTGTTCTTGTTCAGAGATTCACTGTCATTGTTCACATTTTTCAGTTCTTGTTCAGAGATTCACTGTCATTGTCCACATTTTTCAGTTCTTGTTCAGAGATTCACTGTCACTGTTCACATTCTTCAGTTCTTCAGAGACTGGCTGTCATTGTCCACATTCTTCAGTTCTTGTTCAGAGATTCACTGTCATTGTTCACATTTTTCAGTTCTTGTTCAGAGATTCACTGTCATTGTCCACAGTCTTCTGTTCTTATTCAGAGACTGGCTGTCATTGTCCACATTCTTCAGTTCTTGTTCAGAGATTCGATGTCATTGTCCACATTCTTCAGTTCTTATTCAGAGACTGGCTGTCATTGTCCACATTCTTCAGTTCTTGTTCAGAGATTCACTGTCATTGTTCACATTTTTCAGTTCTTGTTCAGAGACTGGCTGTCATTGTCCACATTCTTCAGTTCTTGTTCAGAGATTCACTGTCATTGTTCACATTTTTCAGTTCTTGTTCAGAGATTCACTGTCATTGTCCACAGTCTTCAGTTCTTGTTCAGAGATTCACTGTCATTGTTCACATTTTTCAGTTCTTGTTCAGAGATTCACTGTCAGTGTCCACATTTTTCAGTTCTTGTTCAGAGATTCACTGTCATTGTTCACATTCTTCAGTTCTTGTTCAGAGACTGGCTGTCATTGTCCACATTCTTCAGTTCTTGTTCAGAGATTCACTGTCATTGTTCACATTTTTCAGTTCTTGTTCAGAGATTCACTGTTATTGTCCACAGTCTTCCGTTCTTATTCAGAGACTGGCTGTCATTGTCCACATTCTTCAGTTCTTGTTCAGAGATTCGATGTCATTGTCTACATTCTTCAGTTCTTGTTCAGAGATTCACTGTCACTGCCCACATTCTTCAGTTCTTGTTCAGAGATTCACTGTCATTGTCCACAGTCGTCAGTTCTTGTTCAGAGATTCACTGTCATTGTCCACATTCTTCAGTTCTTGTTTAGAGATTTACTGTAATTGTCCACATTCTTCAGTTCTTGTTCAGAGATTCACTGTCATTGTCCATATTCTTCAGTTCTTGTTCAGAGATTCACTGTCATTGTCCATATTCTTCAGTTCTTGCTCAGAGATTCACTGTCATTGTCCACATTCTTCAGTTCTTGTTCAGAGATTAACTGTCATTGTCCACATTCTTCAGTTCTTGTTCAGAGATTCACTGTCATTGTCCATATTCTTCAGTTCTTATTCAGAGATTCACTGTCATTGTCCACATTCTTCAGTTCTTATTCAGAGATTCACTGTCATTGTCCACATTCTTCAGTTCTTATTCAGAGACTGGCTGTCATTGTCCACAGTCTTCAGTTCTTGTTCAGAGATTCACTGTCATTGTTCACATTTTTCAGTTCTTGTTCAGAGACTGGCTGTCATTGTCCTCATTCTTCAGTTCTTGTTCAGAGATTCACTGTCATTGTTCACATTTTTCAGTTCTTGTTCAGAGATTCACTGTCATTGTCCACAGTCTTCAGTTCTTGTTCAGAGATTCACTGTCATTGTTCACATTTTTCAGTTCTTGTTCAGAGATTCACTGTCATTGTCCACATTTTTCAGTTCTTGTTCAGAGATTCACTGTCATTGTTCACATTCTTCAGTTCTTCAGAGACTGGCTGTCATTGTCCACATTCTTCAGTTCTTGTTCAGAGATTCACTGTCATTGTTCACATTTTTCAGTTCTTGTTCAGAGATTCACTGTCATTGTCCACAGTCTTCCGTTCTTATTCAGAGACTGGCTGTCATTGTCCACATTCTTCAGTTCTTGTTCAGAGATTCGATGTCATTGTCTACATTCTTCAGTTCTTGTTCAGAGATTCACTGTCACTGTCCACATTCTTCAGTTCTTGTTCAGAGATTCACTGTCATTGTTCACATTCTTCAGTTCTTGTTCAGAGACTGGCTGTCATTGTCCACATTCTTCAGTTCTTGTTCAGAGATTCACTGTCATTGTTCACATTTTTCAGTTCTTGTTCAGAGATTCACTGTTATTGTCCACAGTCTTCCGTTCTTATTCAGAGACTGGCTGTCATTGTCCACATTCTTCAGTTCTTGTTCAGAGATTCGATGTCATTGTCTACATTCTTCAGTTCTTGTTCAGAGATTCACTGTCACTGTCCACATTCTTCAGTTCTTGTTCAGAGATTCACTGTCATTGTCCACAGTCTTCAGTTCTTGTTCAGAGATTCACTGTCATTGTCCACATTCTTCAGTTCTTGTTTAGAGATTTACTGTAATTGTCCACATTCTTCAGTTCTTGTTCAGAGATTCACTGTCATTGTCCATATTCTTCAGTTCTTGTTCAGAGATTCACTGTCATTGTCCATATTCTTCAGTTCTTGTTCAGAGATTCACTGTCATTGTCCACATTCTTCAGTTCTTATTCAGAGACTGGCTGTCATTGTCCACAGTCTTCAGTTCTTGTTCAGAGATTCACTGTCATTGTTCACATTTTTCAGTTCTTGTTCAGAGACTGGCTGTCATTGTCCACATTCTTCAGTTCTTGTTCAGAGATTCACTGTAATTGTTCACATTTTTCAGTTCTTGTTCAGAGATTCACTGTCATTGTCCACAGTCTTCAGTTCTTGTTCAGAGATTCACTGTCATTGTTCACATTTTTCAGTTCTTGTTCAGAGATTCACTGTCATTGTCCACATTTTTCAGTTCTTGTTCAGAGATTCACTGTCATTGTTCACATTCTTCAGTTCTTCAGAGACTGGCTGTCATTGTCCACATTCTTCAGTTCTTGTTCAGAGATTCACTGTCATTGTTCACATTTTTCAGTTCTTGTTCAGAGATTCACTGTCATTGTCCACAGTCTTCCGTTCTTATTCAGAGACTGGCTGTCATTGTCCACATTCTTCAGTTCTTTTTCAGAGATTCGATGTCATTGTCTACATTCTTCAGTTCTTGTTCAGAGATTCACTGTCACTGTCCACATTCTTCAGTTCTTGTTCAGAGATTCACTGTCATTGTCCACAGTCTTCAGTTCTTGTTCAGAGATTCACTGTCATTGTCCACATTCTTCAGTTCTTGTTTAGAGATTCACTGTCATTGTCCACATTCTTCAGTTCTTGTTCAGAGATTCACTGTTACTGTGACCCGTGTTTAGAAGACAGCCATTGTCATGCTGGATCAAGTTTTAGAGACACTGTCATTGTCAAGTTAGACAAAGTTCAAGAGACACTGTCACGTGCTAGCTGGACAAAGTTTAGAAGACAGCCTTGGTTTAGTTAGACCAAGTCCATGAAACGCTGCTATTGGCTATCTGGACCAAGTCCGTGAAACACTGTCATTGGATAGCTGGACCAAGTCAATGAAACACTGTCATTGGCTAGCTGGACCAAGTCAATGAAACACTGTCATTCGATAGCTGGACCAAGTCAATGAAACACTGTCATTGGCTAGCTGGACCAAGTCAATGAAACACTGTCATTGGCTAGCTGGACCAAGTCCATGAAACACTGTCATTGGCTAGCTGGACCAAGTCAATGAAACACTGTCATTGGCTAGCTGGACCAAGTTTAGGGGAAACTGTCATTGGCTAGTTAGATCAAGTTTAGGAGTCACTGTCATTGCCTAGTTGGACCAATTACATGAAACACTGTCATTGCCTAGTTGGACCAATTCCATGAAACACTGTCATTGCCTAGTTGGACCAATTCCATGAAACACTGTCATTAGCTAGTTGGACTAAGTTTAGGTGACACTGTTTGTGGCTAGCTGGACTAAATCCATAAAACAATGTCATTGGCTAGTCGGACCTAGTCCTTAAAACACTGTCACTGTCTAGGTGGACCAAGTTTAGGAGACACTGTCACTGTCTAGTTGGACCAAGTCCAAGAGACACTGTCATTGTCTAGTTGGACCAAGTCCAAGAGACACTGTCACTTTCTTGTTGGACCAAGTCCAAGAGACACTGTCACTATCTAGTTGGACCAAGTCCAAGAGACACTGTCACTATCTAGTTGGACCAAGTCCAAGAGACACTGTCATTGTCTAGTTGGACCAAGTCCAAGAGACACTGTCATTGTCTAGTTGGACCAAGTCCAAGAGACACTGTCACTGTCTAGTTGGACCAAGTCCAAGAGACACTGTCGTTGGCTAGCTGGACCAAGTTTAGGAGATACTGTCTTCGGCAAGTCGGACCAAGTTTAGGAGACACTGTCATTGTCTAGTTGGACCAAGTTCAGGAGAAACTGTCATTGTCTAGTTGGACCAAGTTCAGGAGATACTGTCATTTGTTAAGTTGGACCAAGTTTAGGAGACTAAGGATGCGACAACATTTTAGATGGATCAAGTCCAGCTAAGAAAGTTACCAGCATGAAGACAGTTAATGACTCTTAGTACTTACTAGCTGCGCTTGCTTGATCCTGTTGATTCGAGCCGTGTGCAGTTTCATGGCCTCTTCAAATGAATCAGCAGAACTGAAATCTGAGCACAAACATTTTGAATCAAATTACAGTGCTATAATGTTAGTTCCTAACTCAACTAAAATAAACACTTAGCTAGTTAGATTCTTAGCTTGTTAGTTTGCTAGTTCTTTGGCTAGTTGGCTAACTTGTCTACTTTCCACCATATCCCTGGTCCATTTCTTGTCCACTTTCCACCATATCCCTGTCTGCTATTCCTTCAACCTGTAAGTTCCCTTTCGTACCCACATACCTCTGCAAATAAATGAAACTGATTTTTGTCAGCTGTGACTTCCTTAGAGAGCTAAACCACTCATCTCCTCCAGCCCACCTAGATCTTTCTGAGCATCCTCGTTGAGTCACTGAGAGAGCTAGCCCTGTGAGGATTCCTTCCTCCAGCCCACCTTGATCTTTCTGAGCATGCTCGTTGAGTCACAGAGAGCTAGCCCTGTGAGGATTCCTTCCTCTAGCCAAGCTATTGCTGTAGTTACTACCATGGAATACTGTGCGCACCGGACGCAACAAAATGGTGGCTGGAATTTTCATGTCTCCATTTGTTCACGAAAATCATTAAATGTCGCTGGAAATTCAATATTCAGGACAGCAGGCATGTAAAATGTTTAGGTTTTCAGCAGATAACCTGAGCTACATGTTCCCATCAAAACCATGGGAGTATGTCATTAACTGTCACTGGAAATTCAATATACACGACAGCAGGCATGTAAAATGTTTAGGTTTTCAGCAGATAACCTGAGCCACATGTTCCCATCAAAACCATGGGAGTATGTCATTAGCTGTCACTGGAAATTCAATATACACGACAGCAGGCATGTAAAATATTTAGGTTTTCAACAGATAACCTGAGCCACATGTTCCCATCAGAACCATGTCAGCAAGTCTGAGTGAAGACAGACAACAGACTTAGGACTTCCAACTATCATGACAGGACATGAGAGGGAAGGCAGGATTTGTAGGACATCAGTGTGAGACATAAGACCCTCAGACTACAATGGAGAGAATGGGAATATGAGGAGAGATGGGATATGTTTCTATTAGAATATGCTCGTGCAGTGTAAGACTAAATACTACACACATGTATTTGTTTCCATTTTAGTTCCCGTCAGGGGCAAGGACCAGTCAGCACATCATAAGTTGAGGGTCCAAGTGTATGGACCAACATTGTGTGAGAGACCGGCAGACTAGGACAAGCGGGAAAGCAAAGAAGGGCCTACACTCGAGAGCTCTCTGTGGTTTTACCTTATGTTACCACAAAGTTACATTCAGTATTTTTGTTCGTAAACTAATCATCATCATTAAAACAATCCTCTAATCTCATGACTATTGTCTCTAGGTGACAGTGACGCATCTCATTACCACCATACCATCAGCCTGTCACTGAGTGACTATGTTAACATGACTATTGTCTCTTGTTGACACATCTCATTAACACCATACCATCAGCCAGTCACTGAGTGACCATGTTAACATGACTATTGTCTCTAGGTGACGCATCTCACTACCACCATACCATCAGCCTGTCACTGAGTGACTATGTTAACATGACTATTGTCTCTTGTTGACACATCTCATTAACACCATACCATCAGCCAGTCACTGAGTGACCATGTTAACATGACTATTGTCTCTAGGTGACGCATCTCATTACCACCATACCATCAGCCAGTCACTGAGTGACCATGTTAAAGTGACTATTGTCTCTAGGTGACGCATCTCATTAACACCATACCATCAGCCAGTCACTGAGTGACTATGTTAACATGACTATTGTCTCTTGTTGATACATCTCATTACCACCATACCATCAGCCTGTCACTGAGTGACCATGTTAACATGACTATTGTCTCTAGGTGACACATCTCATTACCACCATACCATCAGCCTGTCACTGAGTGACTATGTTAACGTGACTATTGTCTCTTGTTGACACATCTCATTAACACCATACCATCAGCCAGTCACTGAGTGACTATGTTAACATGACTATTGTCTCTTGTTGACGCATCTCATTAACACCTTACCATCAGCCAGTCACTGAGTGACTATGTTAACATGACTATTGTCATCTGAATGATTGTTAGTATAATAAATCAATATATCAAGTCTTATGGAACTACATTGTATATTGAATTCCAAGTGTATTTTTTCTTACCTGTTTAACTAAACTGTTAGACAGAATAACATTTGGTGGGAGCTCTTTCATAAATCTTTACCAGGAGGAAGTCATATAGGGGTCACCTGCCCTGTCTAACAATTCATTACTTAAAATAATCTAGACATCTAAAACCCCTTTCCTTCTCCTGAGGGTGCCAAGTGCAGCTGCTGTAAATTTACAGGATGAGCCAAATATGGCTGATTTCTTGGATATCCAGGACTTTGTCTGGGATCAGCATAGCTCAGATATTAGTCCTGTTTCTCTGGTAGAGGTGAAGTGTTGAGAGTAAAACTCCTACTCATCACAGAATCATCTATCCACTCTGGGACTCGCGACACTGGACTGTGGATGATGCAGATGTAAATTCATTCCTGAGGTAATGGAGCCAGCCATATGAAGGGGTTTTTTGCCATATGTTGAGACTGATTCTTCCAGTGGGCTGCTTTTAAGCCAGTCTCTTGAATTTGCCTCCAAAGGCAACTAATGATGCTTCTAACTACATTACATTGTCGGGCCACTACACTTTGTGACTGGCCATCCTGTAAGTGCGAGTTAGCATAAGGAATTTTACAAAACAATTTATTAGAGAAGTGTGATTCCTGTGAACCTGTCTTCTTTTTCTTCTTCTTTACGTCCTCTTTTACTACTTCAGGTGTCAAGGAAGATATAAGGTCCTGCTTCGTGCTCTTCTGGCTGCTTCAACCATAGACACATCGTGGTGCTGTAGAGTTTCTCTCATGTTATAAACCCATCTTATTCTTGGTCTACCTCTTGTTCTACGTCCCTGTCCTCTTTTGTTATATGCCTTGTATGGTATGTCATCAGGAGGCATTCTCTCCAAGCAGGCGAACAATTTGATTTTCTGTCTTTGCATTTAATTTAGAATTGATTCCGTGCTGACTTTATGACCTCATTCCTGATTTAATCTCTTCTGGTCATTTCTATATTCTTTTTCAGACACCTTATTTCCATGGATACTAATTTTCTTTTACGTTTTATTGTGAGGGACCATGTCTGGCACTGGTAGCACAGGGTGGGAATGATTATGCTTTGTATGAGATGTTTCTTTGTTCTGATAGGGATTGTCTTATGCTGTATAGGGTGGCTAGCTGTTCAAATACTTGGCCAGATTTACTGCATCGGATGTCAATTTACCATCTTCAGTAAAAGTTGTTGAGATATTTGAACTCAGATGCCTGTTTAATATATGTATGCTGTGTTTAAATCCTGCTTCTTTATTCCTATTGACATTACTTCTGTCTTTTCAATGTTGATTCTCATATTATTTGATTTCCATTCTTCATTCATGAATGTCAGATGCTGTTGCAAATTCATGACTGTATCTGCAATCAAGGCCTGGTCATCAGCAAAGAGTAATTCATTGATGTTACTATTATTTTCATTCCTATCATTCTTGCTTATACTGTCAATGTAGGTGATAAAAAGAAGTGGTGATTTATTCTAATTTCGCTTCTACAATCACTATAAAGAGTTTTGCAATCTTTAATGAGGTGTTCATTTACTTCATACTGAGTCATTACTTTCTATAATTTTTGTTTATCGACCCTGTTGAAAGCTTTCTCCTGGTGTACAAATGCTACAAATAAGTTCTGATCATATTTGATGTTCTTTTCTAAGAACTGTTTAAGTGTGAAGATTGCGTCTGTGCAGCTTTTATTTCTCCTAAAACCCATCTGTTCTTCTGTCAACTGTGGTTCTATCACTGATTGCAGACTGGTTTCTATTTATTTTGTGTAGTGAACCTGTCACTTGTCAGAATGGTTATTTTGACTTTTGTTGCTTTTCTTGTGCTCACAATTATCAGGTGAGTCAACTTAAGGATGACATGTTAAAGTAATGATCAGTTGAACATTTCAGGCTATTTCCATGTTCGGGCATTTTATTTGATTGCAACATCTCCTATGTTCCGTCCCTTTCAGTCACCTAGCAACTAATGTAATTAGTGAGGATGAGACAAGTGAGCACTGACCATCATCTCCTCCCTTAGCATCCAGGTCTGTGTCATATTCAAACCAGGCTGTCTCTTTTGTAGCTGCCTTCAGGTCACAGGTCAGAGCATGGTTGCCATTGTTGCCAAGAGCCTAGGTGGGGTCAACAGATTCAGGCAAAATGCATCAGCGTGAGCAACTAGGCAAGAACAGAAAAGATGTAGTAATAAGGGAGCACTAGACAAAAACAGACAAAATGTAACAATGTGAGCCCACCAGACAAAAACAGACAAAATGTAACAATGTGAGCCCACCAGACAAAAACAGACAAAATGTAACAATGTGAGCCCACCAGACAAACACAGACAAAATGTAACAATGTGAGCCCACCAGACAAAAACAGACAAAATGTAACAATGTGAGCCCACCAGACAAAAAAACAGACAAAATGTAGCAATATGAGAACACTAGACAAAAACAGACAAAATGTGAGCACTAGACAATGTGTAGCAATGTGAGCACACCAGACAAAAACAGACAAAATGTAGCAATATGAGATTAACAGACAAAATCAGACATAAATGTAGCAATATGAGCACAATTGACAAAAAACAGACGAAATGTAGTAATATGAAAACAACAGACAAAGAAGAGTGAAGTAAAAAAAATGTAAAATCAAACACAAGAGATCTTTTGATGAAAAGTCTGAGTGAGAAGCAAACAAAAACAGTATAGAAGAAGAAACAGGATCCAATTGCTTCAAAGATGACAAGTTCTGGAGACATGACAAGACTGATGACTTTTTACCCCACCAGGACATCACACAGAACGATAAACACCAGGTGACACCATTCAGATGGGAATCACTCGTGGAGAGGTCCCAGGAACCCTATCAACCATTAGGTTATATTAGGACAACTGGCAACAACCAGGGTGGGGGTTCAAAATAATGAACAATTTATCGCAAATGGGGAGGAATAATTCTTAGGTCATATAATTTTTTCAGAATGAGTTACAGAAGAGGCTTCAAAGGATAAAATGGAAGATTTTAATTTCTCTAAAATTTCACCAGACTAGAAACTTCTCAAATTTATGATGCTGCAAAGAAACTTGGAACTATTAACAGTTCCAATATAGAGATCAGCCTGAAGAATGTATCCACTGAAAAATCTATTGGTGATCTTTGAAGAAAGAAAAAGATGGTAACATGTTATCTCCCTTCCAATTGTTCTCTGTGATGTTCGCGTCACAGATAATTAGCTACCCAGATCATCTTGACAGATTTGAATAAATAAACAAAAGAGAGGAGGTTGTGGATGGACATGACCACCAATGCCACTTGGATTCAACTGTCAGACAAAGAAAGAAACCCATATTTACTACTGCACTCCTTCATCAAACTGTTCTGCTGAAGGGTCCTTGTCAGTTGTCAAACGGATAAAGATCTAAGGTCAACACACAATCACTCTTGACAGTGGTCAGTCTTGAAGTGCTCACTTTAGAATCAAACACCAGAGTGAGTTCGAATCTGAGGAAGTGATAAATGCTTTCACAAATGCAAAAGTCAGAAGCAAGTAATTTTTTCTAGGCTCTATAACTTTCTCAGAATGATTGTTAAATTCTATATTTCAGACATTCTAAATTGGAGGTTTCTAGAATTTAAAAAAAAATTTTTTGTATAAGGGCTATGAAACTGTGGTGATTATTTTATGCGTATTTATTACATTACTCTGTCTTCAAAATAATTTTGTAATGTTTAACTTTCACATTCATTTCATCTGTTATGTCTGAAGTTTAAATACTTCATTACAACTTAAAACCAAAGTAATTATTTCCACAATGAACAGCAATGCTCAGCCTTGACTAAACAAGCGAACCAAAATAACATAAACAAAAAACGGTTCCAGTACTCTCAAAGCGCTTGTGAAAACCAAAGTGCAGTTGCTCAGCACAAAGTGTCTATTACTGTAGCACTGAAAAAAATGATGCTTTGGAAAAAAGTGCTTGTATCACATACCATTTTGACCCACCAGAAAAACAAGCCCTGGTAAGGCTGAAGGTTGCGGACAAAGGTTGGGAAGGGTAGAACATGACCAAAATAGGTGCGCAAGGAGTGTCACATATCCTAAATCCTAAATAGGACCCTGGGTGCGAGATACCAGTAAGACTTGGTATATATGACACCTCCAGCAGTTCTGACCCCAGCTTCAGAATCTGACATTTATATCCTATCTATGAGTGCATTTACCGCTGATGTTGCTACTCACAGCGTTCATTCCACCGATTATTGCCACAACATTCTTAAGAGCTATCTCAATTTCTTCCGAAGGCACATTCACTGTGTTTTCTGGATTCGTCAAAAACCGCATCATCTCTGTCAAAATATCTATCACTTTTTTCTGAGGATCAAAAATGTGAAGCATGGATGTTATGTGAAGATACAAAATGTGAACAATGGATGTTTTGTGAAGACATAAAATGTGAAGAATGGATGTTTTGTGAAGATAAATAATGTGAAAGATGGATGTTTTGTGAAGATATAAAATGTGAAGAATGGATGTTTTGTGAAGATACAAAATGTAAAAACACTGGATGTTTTGTGAAGATATAAAATGTGAAGAATGTTTGTTTTATGAATATAAATAATGTGAAAGATGAATGTTTTATGAAGATAAATAATGTGAAAGATGGATGTTTTGTGAAAATACAAAATGTGAAGGATGGATGTTTTTTGAGATACAAAATGTGAAGAATCGATGTTTTGTGAAGATACAAAATGTGAAGAATGGATGTTTTGTGAAGATAAATAATGTGAAAGATTAATGTTTTTTTGAAGATACAAAATGTGAAGAATGGATGTTTTGTCAAGATATAAAATGTGAAGAATTGATATTTTGTGAAGATATAAAATGTGAAGAATGAATGTTTTGTGAAGATACAAAATGTGAAGAATGGATGTTTTGTGAAGATAAATAATGTGAAAGATGAATGTTTTGTGAAGATACAAAATGTGAAGGATAGATGTTTTGTGAAGATACAAAATGTGAAGAATGGATGTTTTGTCAAGATATAAAATGTGAAGAATGAATGTTTTGTAAAGAACCAAAATATGAAGAATGGATATTTTGTCAAGATATAAAATGTGAAGAATGGAAGTTTTGTGAAGATATAAAATGTGAAAAATGGATGTTTTTTGAGATACAAAATGTGAAGAATCGATGTTTTGTGAAGATACAAAATGTGAAGAATGGATGTTTTGTGAAGATAAATAATGTGAAAGATTAATGTTTTTTTGAAGATACAAAATGTGAAGAATGGATGTTTTGTCAAGATATAAAATGTGAAGAATTGATATTTTGTGAAGATATAAAATGTGAAGAATGGATGTTTTGTGAAGATACAAAATGTGAAGAATGGATGTTTTGTGAAGATAAATAATGTGAAAGATGAATGTTTTGTGAAGATACAAAATGTGAAGGATAGATGTTTTGTGAAGATACAAAATGTGAAGAATGGATGTTTTGTCAAGATATAAAATGTGAAGAATGGATGTTTTGTCAAGATATAAAATGTGAAGAATTGATATTTTGTGAAGATATAAAATGTGAAGAATGAATGTTTTGTGAAGATACAAAATGTGAAGAATGGATGTTTTGTGAAGATAAATAATGTGAAAGATGAATGTTTTGTGAAGATACAAAATGTGAAGGATAGATGTTTTGTGAAGATACAAAATGTGAAGAATGGATGTTTTGTCAAGATATAAAATGTGAAGAATGGATGTTTTGTAAAGATCCAAAATATGAAGAATGGATATTTTGTCAAGATATAAAATGTGAAGAATGGAAGTTTTGTGAAGATATAAAATGTGAAGAATGGATGTTTTGTGAAGATACAAAATGTGAAGAATGGATGTTTTGTGAAGATAAATAATGTGAAAGATGAATGTTTTGTGAAGATACAAAATGTGAAGGATAGATGTTTTGTGAAGATACAAAATGTGAAGAATGGATGTTTTGTCAAGATATAAAATGTGAAGAATGGATGTTTTGTCAAGATATAAAATGTGAAGAATTGATATTTTGTGAAGATATAAAATGTGAAGAATGAATGTTTTGTGAAGATACAAAATGTGAAGAATGGATGTTTTGTGAAGATAAATAATGTGAAAGATGAATGTTTTGTGAAGATACAAAATGTGAAGGATAGATGTTTTGTGAAGATACAAAATGTGAAGAATGGATGTTTTGTCAAGATATAAAATGTGAAGAATGAATGTTTTGTAAAGAACCAAAATATGAAGAATGGATATTTTGTCAAGATATAAAATGTGAAGAATGGAAGTTTTGTGAAGATATAAAATGTGAAGAATGGATGTTTTTTGAGATACAAAATGTGAAGAATCGATGTTTTGTGAAGATACAAAATGTGAAGAATGGATGTTTTGTGATGATAAATAATGTAAAAGATTAATGTTTTTTTGAAGATACAAAATGTGAAGGATAGATGTTTTGTGAAGATACAAAATGTGAAGAATGGATGTTTTGTCAAGATATAAAATGTGAAGAATGAATGTTTTGTAAAGAACCAAAATATGAAGAATGGATGTTTTGTCAAGATATAAAATGTGAAGAATTGATATTTTGTGAAGATATAAAATGTGAAGAATGGATGTTTTGTGAAGATACAAAATGTGAAGAATGGATGTTTTGTGAAGATAAATAATGTGAAAGATGAATGTTTTGTGAAGATACAAAATGTGAAGGATAGATGTTTTGTGAAGATACAAAATGTGAAGAATGGATGTTTTGTCAAGATATAAAATGTGAAGAATGGATGTTTTGTCAAGATATAAAATGTGAAGAATTGATATTTTGTGAAGATATAAAATGTGAAGAATGAATGTTTTGTGAAGATACAAAATGTGAAGAATGGATGTTTTGTGAAGATAAATAATGTGAAAGATGAATGTTTTGTGAAGATACAAAATGTGAAGGATAGATGTTTTGATCCCTGTCTCTGTCACTGCCTGTATCATAGTTCCTGTCTCTGTCCCTGTCACAGTTCCCTCTTTATCACTATCTCTGTTACAGTCCCTATCTTGATCACTGTCTCTATCAAAATCTCTGTCACTGTCCCTGTCTCTGTCACTGTTTGCATTTAACTATGAGTGTCACTGTCTCGGTCACTGTCTCTGCCACTGTCTTTGTCACCATCCTTGTCACTATCTCTGTCTATGCCAATGTTATTGTCTATGTCACTTCTCTGTCTCTGTCACTATTACATTTTACATGTCACTGTCTTGATCACTGGTTGCCTGCCTCTGTCTCTTACTCTGTAGCTGTCTCTGTCATTGCCTGACTGTCACTGTCTCTGTCACTATGTCTGTCTCTTTCGTTGCCTGACTGTCACCATTTCTGTCACTATGTCTGTCTCTGTCACAAATTCTGTCACTGATCACTGTTGGTGTCTCTATTAATGTCTTTATCACTGTCACCATCTCTGTAACTATCTGCCTGTCTCTGTTTGGCTGTCTCTGTTTGGCTGTCTCTGTTACAGTTTCTGTCCCTGTATGTGCCACTGGCTGCTCACAAACTGTCACCACTGATTTCTCACCTGGCTGGCCTGATCTATCTCATCCCCATAGACCAGGATCAGTGCCAACAAGCTGCTCTGCTGTTGGATGCCTTCAACAGACTGTGGATGTTGTTTTGTCATCTCATCAATCAGAAGGGACCTCACCTGTACCAGAAAAAAAATCCTCAATTATTTAGTGCTAGATCTTACACTCTCCTCCCTTTTTTGTTGCTAGATCTTACACTCTCCTCCCTTTTTTGTTGCTAGATCTTACACTCTCCTCCCTTTTTTGTTGCTAGATCTTACACTCTCCTCCCTTTTTTGTTGCTAGATCTCCCACTCTCCTCCCTTATTTGTTGCTAGATCTTTCACTTTACTCCCTTTTTTGTTGCTAGATCTTACACTTTCCTCCCTTATTTGTTGCTAGATCTTACACTCTCCTCCCTTTTTTGTTGCTAGATCTCCCACTCTCCTCCCTTATTTGTTGCTAGATCTTACACTATCCTCCATTATTTGTTGCTAGATCTTCCACTCTCCTGCCTTATTTGTTGTTAGATCTTACTCTCCTCACATATTTGTTGTTAGATCTTACGCTCTCCTCCCTTATTTATTGTTATATCTTACACTATCCTCCCTTATTTGTTGCTAGATCTCACACTCTCCTGCCTTATTTGTTGCTAGATATTACACTCTCCTCACATATTTGTTGCTAGATATTACACTCTCCTCACATATTTGTTGCTAGATATTACACTCTCCTCACATATTTGTTGCTAGATATTACACTCTCCTCACATATTTGTTGCTAGGTATTACACTCTCCTCACATATTTGTTGCTAGATATTACACTCTCCTCCCTTATTTGTTGCTAGATATTACACTCTCCTCACCTATTTGTTGCTAGATATTACACTCTCCTCACATATTTGTTGCTAGATATTACACTCTCCTCACATATTTGTTGCTAGATATTACACTCCCCTCACATATTTGTTGCTAGATATTACACTCTCCTCACATATTTGTTGCTAGATATTACACTCTCCTCGCATATTTGTTGCTAGATCTTACTCTCCTCACATATTTGTTGCTAGATATTACTATCCTCCCTTATTTGTTGTTAGATCTTACGCTCTCCTCCCTTATTTATTGTTAGATCTTACACTATCCTCCCTTATTTGTTGCTAGATCTTACTCTCCTCCCTTATTTGTTGCTAGATCTCCCACTCTCCTGCCTTATTTGTTGCTAGATCTTACTCTCCTCACATATTTGTTGCTAGATCTGATCTTACACTCTCCTCCCTTTTCTGTTGCTAGATCTTACACTCCACTCCCTTATTTGTTGCTAAATCTTACACTCTCCTCCTTTTTTTGTTGCTAGATCTTACACTCTTCTCCCTTATTTGTTGCTAGATTTAATACAATTCTCCCTTATTTGTTGTTAGATCTTACACTCTCCTCCCTTTTTTGTTGTTGCTAGATCTTATACTATTCTCCCTTATTTGTTGTTAGATCTTACACAATTCTCCCTTATTTGTTGTTAGATCTTACACACTCCTCCTTTTTTTTTGTTGCTAGATCTCCCATTCTCCTCCCTTATTTGTTGCTAGATCTTACACAATTCTCCCTTATTTGTTGTTAGATCTTACACTCTCCTCCCTTTTTTGTTGTTGCTAGATCTTATACTATTCTCCCTTATTTGTTGTTAGATCTTACACAATTCTCCCTTTTTTGTTGTTAGATCTTACACTATCCTCCCTTATTTGTTGTTAGATCTTACACTATTCTCCCTTATTTGTAACTGGATTGAAGCCAAATTTGAGATCCCAAAACTGTCAAGAGTTCTCCTCACTGTGATACTTATTACAGTTTCTGCATTTGATATGCAATAGGTAAGGGGAGAAAAACCATTTGCATGCCATCAGTCACATGATATGTAAAATGCAGAAATAGTTGTGGCGAAAATCTGAGGTCAACAGGAGGAGACACCATCTGAATTATACTGGTCACAGAGAGAAAAGATGTAAACTAAACACTAGATGACATATCAATAAATAAAAACTAGATGACATATAAATAACCATAAACTAGATGACATATCAATAACCATAAACTAGATGACATATCAATAACCATAAAATAGATGACATATCAATTACCATAAACTAGATGACATATCAATGACCATAAACTAGATGATATATCAATGACCATAAAAATAGATGACATATCAATGACCATAAACTAGATGACATATCGATGACCTTAAAAATAGATGACATATCAATGACCATAAAAATAGATGACATATCAATGACCTTAAAAATAGATGACATATCAATGACCTTAAAAATAGATGACATATCAATGACCATAAAAGTAGATGACAAATCAACAACTACCTGTTGACAATCCAGGATTTCAACCTGCAGCTTTAGAATATTGAAAGTGCCTGAAAAAAAATTAGTTACTTAAAGCACAGGCCAACTAAACATGGCTGACTTACCGCAGCTCGATCGCTCCTTTCAGTCTCCATCTTGTACTCAGTTTCAGGACTCTGGATTGAGGCATTCTGTCGATGAACATCACAATGAATCTACACTTAGTTAGTTAGTTAGTTAGTTAGTTAGCTAGTTAGTTAGTTAGTCAGTTAACAGATTATCCTTATTGTACAAGTCCATAGCCACTCGGGTCCCATCTTCAGTATGCCCCTCAGCGTGTGGTGACTGATAACATCAGTTTAATTCTGGTTTATTATTCTTCTTTTTTTGGCTACCTGCACAGTGTTCATGTCTGAATAAAGCTCTTTTGACCTGAAGTTCTTGTAGTCTTTTGAATTTGGTCAACTCAGTGTCGTCTCCTGAATCACTTACTCATTCTACCTCCTTGAGAGCACTGACATCATTGGGCTGGTTCATTGATTGTCCTGTATCCATCCTGGCCCTGCCAGCAGGCCAGTGTGCTCATTCGTTCCCTCTTACTCCAGAGTACCATGGTACATAAATGAAACTGATTCTTGCCAGATGTGATTACCTCTGTCGTCTAACCCATTCTGTCTCGATCTTCTTAAGCATGCTCACGGAATCACTTTTAAAAAAAAAGCATGGAAAAATATTTAGTGTCTCTAGCTATATCATTCTTTTTTGTTACCGCCATCGCTTCCATGGTGAGACAACTTGTAGTTAAGGTAAAAGCACTGCTGACTTTTTTTTACTGTTCTTCCTCAAACCAGAACTATAAAAGCCAATGAACGGCATCGTTGGCAGAATTCAGGCTTAAACTTCCACTTCAACCACCAAGGGATTTTTTGTCTGCAGTCTCTGTCCAGTCTCTGTCCAGTTTCATGCAGACTAGAAATGATGTACAACACTCTTCTGGCACTCGTAACCATTCATCACCAGGTTCTATATCCCATTCATCACCAGGTTCTATGTCCCATTCATCACCAGTTTCTATGTCCCATTCATCACCATGTTCTATGTCCCATTCATCACCAGGTTCTATGTCCCATTCATCACCAGGTTCTATGTCCCATTCATCACCAGGTTCTATGTCCCATTCATCACCAGGTTCTATGTCCTATTCATCACCAGGTTCTATGTCCCATTCATCACCAGGTTCTATGTCCCATTCATCACCAGGTTCTATGTCCCATTCATCACCAGGTTTTATGTCCCATTCATCACCAGGTTCTATGTCCCATTCATCACCAGGTTCTATGTCCCATTCATCACCAGGTTCTATGTCCCATTCATCACCAGGCTCTATGTCCCATTCATCATCAGGTTCTATGTCCCATTCATCACCAGGTTCTATGTCCCATTCATCACCAAGTTCTATGTCCCATTCATCACCAGGTTCTATGTTCCATTCATCACCAGGTTCTATGTCCTCAATTGAATAAACCTGTTAAATTATGTAAATCTGTACTGATAATAATGAAAAGATCACATCTTAGCAACCATCTTCCCGACAGCTACATTATTTATCATCTTTATTTTGCTTTATTAAACTCCTTCATCTGCTTGTGGTACACCTACTTAAGTGCCCCAATGAATATAAGAGTCCTGCCATTAATAACAAAGCTTCTGGCAGTCACATACGGCAGACAGGTCAGAATGTAGACAGCTTTAGAGTCACTAAAGTCATAGTGTAACCAGTGATAGGGTCCCTCATGTCATAATGTAGCCCCTGATGGGGTTCTTAATGTCAGTGTAGTCACCGATAGGGTCCTTCATGTATAATGTAGCCACTGATAGGGTCCCTCATGTCACAGTGTAGCCACTGATAGGGTTCCTAATGTCAGTGTAGCCACTGAAAGGGTCCCTCATGTCCAAGTGTAGCCACTGATAGGGTCCCTCATGTCATAGTGTAGCCACTGATAGGGTCCCTCATGTCATAGTGTAGCCACTGATAGGGTCCCTCATGTCATAGTGTAGCCACTGATAGGGTCCCTCATGTCATAGTGTAGCCACTGATAGGGTCCCTCATGTCCCAGTGTAGCCACTGATAGGGTTCCTCGTGTCATAGTGTAGCCACTGATAGGGTCCCTCGTGTCATAGTGTAGCCATTGATAGGGTCCCTCATGTCATAGTGTAGCCACTGATAGGGTCCCTCATGTCCCAGTTAGTCACTGATAGGGTCCCTCATGTGATAGGGTAGCCACTGATAGGGTCCCTCATGTCCCTGTGTAGCCACTGATAGGGTCCCTCTTGTCATAGGGTAGCCACTGATAGGGTCACTCATGTCATAGTGTTGTCACTGATAGGGTCCCTCATGTCATAGTGTAGCCACTGATAGGGTCCTTCAGGTCATAGTGTAGCCACTGCTAGAGTCCCTCATGTCCTAGTGTAGCCACTGATAGGGTCCCTCATATCCCAGTGTAGCCACTGATAGGGTCCTTCAGGTCATAGTGTAGCCACTGATAGGGTCCCTCGTGTCATAGTGTAGCCACTGGTAGGGTCCCTCATGTTCCAGTGTAGCCACTGATAGGGTCCCTCGTGTCATAGTGTAGCCACTGATAGGGTACCTCATGTCATAGTGTAGCCACTGATAGGGTCCCTCATGTCCCAGTGTAGCCACTGATAGGGTCCCTCATGTCATAGTGTAGCCACTGATAGGGTCACTCATGTCATAGTGTAGCCACTGATAGGGTCCCTCATGTTCCAGTGTAGCCACTGATAGGGTCCCTAATGTCCCAGTGTAGCCACTGATAGGGTCCCTCATGTCATAGTGTAGCCACTGATAGGGTCACTTGTGTCATAGTGTAGCCACTGATAGGGTCCCTCATGTCATAGTGTAGCCACTGATAGGGTCCCTCATGTCATAGTGTAGCCACTGATAGGGTCCCTCATGTCCCAGTGTAGCCACTGATAGGGTTCCTCATGTCATAGTGTAGCCACTGATAGGGTCCCTCATGTCCCTGTGTAGCCACTGATAGGGTCCCTCGTGTCATAGTGTAGCCACTGATAGGGTCCCTCGTGTCATAGTGTAGCCACTGATAGGGCCCCTCGTGTCATAGTGTAGCCACTGATAGGGTCCCTCATGTCATAGTGTAGCCACTGATAGGGTCACTCATGTCATAGTGTAGCCACTGATAGGGTCCCTCATGTCCCAGTGTAGCCACTGATAGGGTCCCTCATGTCATAGGGTAGCCACTGATAGGGTCCCTCATGTCATAGTGTAGCCACTGATAGGGTCACTCATGTCATAGTGTAGCCACTTATAGGGTCCTTCATGTCCCAGTTAAGCCACTGATAGGGTCCCTCACGTCCCAGTGTAGCCACTGATAGGGTCCTTTATGTCACAGTGTAGGCACTGATAGGGTCCTTCATATCATAGTGTAGCCACTGATAGGGTCCTTCATGTCATAGTGTAGCCACTGATAGGGTTCCTAGTGTCAGTGTTGTAGTCAATATAATTGACACATGCAAAAATGTATTCATCTACAAGGACAGAGCTCAGAGTGAGACAATATGTATTTCTGTACAAGGACAGAGGATAGAGCAAGTCAACATGTAGTCACAGGGGACAGAGCGAGACAACATGTACCCACAGGGGGCAGAGTAAGACAACATGTACCCACAGGGGACAGAGCAAGACAACATGTAGCCACAGGGGGCAGAGTAAGACAATATGTAGCCACAGGGGACAGAGCAAGACAACATGTAGCCACAGGGGACAGAGTAAGACAACATGTAGCCACAGGGGACAGAGCAAGACAACATGTAGCCACAGAGGACAGAGTAAGACAACATGTAGCCACAGGGGACAGAGCAAGACAATGTGCAGAACTGTTCATGAATTGGGGTTGGGGGAAAGGGGGGGGGGGTGGAAGGGGTTACAGTCAAGGACAATTGAATAAAGGCTGAGGTACCCACCTGTTGCATAAATGGAAGGCCTGTCCTTGTCTGTCGATCCATACATGGAATTCATGAAGTTGCCGGCATATTTCTGCCCAGCATATTCTGAGTCAATAGAAGATGAAGCTGTCAGACACTGAGGCGTATATGAAATCACACATGACCAACACTTGAAGAAATGAGCAACATTTGACTGTTGTCACTGCCCTGTCTCAAATTTATGTTCAGTTTTGTGTAATGAGGCACTAAACTGCTAGAGTCAACTGTAGAGATAACATTAGACAACAGGTGAGAAGTCAGTGTTAGAAAATATAGACTGGAACAGTTAATTTACTCAAGCAGACAACACGAATCTGACCATCACATATCCCATCTCTTTGGGCCACCAGCTGCTGTTAACAGCTTGATCAGTTGCCTCCCTCAAGGGGTCTCATGTTTGCAGATTTAAGGTCTGTGCAGTTGTTTCCATGTCTTCATTGATTTGCTTTCTTCTTCTCTTGCTTCTTTTGAATCCTATACTATCAAATTGTAGAGGCCAGTAGATCATTTGTCATGTCTGTACTATCAAATTGTAGAGGCCAGTAGATCATTTGTCATGTCTGTACTATCAAACTGTAGAGGCCAGTAGATCATTTGTCATGTCTGTACTATCAAATTGTAGAGGCCAGTAGATCATTTGTCATGTCTGTACTACTGCATTGTCCATTGTTTCACTGCTGCCAAAGTTAGAGATCTAAGCATTCATAGTTTGTTTTACATAGGACAGGTTTGCATTTGCATGTGTACTATTTTAATGACTATTTTTGTTGGGCAATTCTTGATATGATTTTAGGGTTGCATCCTCAGCTAGAAATGACCATAGATATTTCAACTGTTTCACTAATTCTAGTTTTTTTACCATTAACCTAAATTGGTGTATTGGTATTAGTTGGATTATATGTCATTACTTTAGTCTCACCTGTCTCAACAACAGCTATTAAATCTGCTGTCTGTAGCTTTCCAAGTGTTACTGTTTTATAGAGAGAGATAGAGATAGAGAGAGAGAGAGAGAGAGAGAGAGAGAGAGAGAGAGAGAGAGAGAGAGAGAGAGAGAGAGAAACGAACAAACAAACTTTATTTTTAAAGGGTCACAAATTGGCACGCAGGCCCGTCTTACATTAGGCCCGTCCAGTCAACCATCTTGAACACAGCAGTTGTATTTTACTAATAAAGCATGTTATGATCATATAATGATATGCATATTAGACAGAGACAGAGGCAAAGGAAGAGAGAGAGAGAGAGAGAAAGAGAGAGAGAGAGAGAGAGAGAGAGAGTGTGTGTGTGTGTGTGCAGGTGTTGGAGATGTGTGTGTGTGTGTGAGTGTGTGCAGGTGTGGGAGATGTGTGTGCAGGTGTGGGAGATGTGTGTGCAGGTGTGGGAGATGTGTGTGCAGGTGTGGGAGATGTGTGTGTGCAGGTGTGGGAGATGTGTTTGCAGGTGTGGGAGATGTGTGTGCAGGTGTGGGAGATGTGTGTGCAGGTGTGGGAGATGTGTGTGCAGGTGTGGGAGATGTGTGTGCACTGTTTCCTTCAGAATAACCTCCACAAAGATGGATAAAAGACCTTGCAAGTGAATAGGCTAAGAAAGTACATAGGGCTGAAGAACAGACTAGACAAAAAGAGACTTTCAGCTGTGCATTGGCAAGAGTGATACTTTTTAAATGACCTGCTGATAATGATGATGATGTGCTCTGATATCTACTTCTGTGTTGTTCGATGATGCTGATGATGATGATGATGATGTGCTCTGATATCTAATTCTGTGTTGTTCGATGATGCTGATGAGGATGATGATGATGATGTGCTCTGATATCTACTTCTATGTTGTTCGATGATGCTGATGATGATGATGATGATGTGCTCTGATATCTACTTCTGTGTTGTTCGATGATGCTGATGATGATGATGATGATGATGATGATGTGCTCTGATATCGACTTCTATGTTGTTCGACGATGCTGATGATGATGATGATAAATATGATGTGCTCTGATATCTACTTCTGTGTTGTTCGATGATGCTGATGATGATGTGCTCTGATATCTACTTCTGTGTTGTTCGATGATGCTGATGATGATGATGTGCTCTGATATCTACTTCTGTGTTGTTCGATGATGCTGATGATGATGATGATGATGTGCTCTGATATGAACTTCTATATTGTTCGATGAATGTTCTTAACTTCCAGTATCTTCAGCTTTTATTTTAGAATTTTTGATGGATAAAAGAATGAGCTAATAGTGGCAATGAAATAGGACATGAGTTGATGGAGCAATGAAATAGGACATGAGTTGATGGAGCAATGAAACAGGACATGAGTTGATGGAGCAATGAAACAGGACATGAGTTGATAGGCAAGTGAAACAGGACATGAGTTGATGGAGCAATGAAACAGGACATGAGTTGATGGAGCAATGAAACAGGACATGAGTTGATGGAGCAATGAAACAGGACATGAGTTGGTAGAGCAATGAAACAGGACATGAGTTGATAGGGAAGTGAAACAGGACATGAGTTGATAGGGAAGTGAAACGGGACATTAGTTGATAGGGAAGTGAAACGGGACATTAAATGATAGTGTCAATGGTGAGAAAAGCACAAGTTAAGTGCAATAAATTGCTGGCATAAAAATGGTGAACATTGCAAGAGTGCAAACAGTTAGAGTAGGTCAGTATGACACAGTGCATTATTAGTCTGTCTGCCTGGTGACTGATAAGCAGATCATTTGTCTGTCTGTCTAGTGACTGATGAGATAATTTGTCATGTTTGCCAGTGACCAATGAGCATATTTTTTTCTGTCTACATTTTGTCTGATGAAGAGATAATCTTCCTAGTCACTGATGAGTAGGTCATCTGTCTGTCTGCCTGGTTAATGATGAGATCATTGCCTAGTGACATGACAGTTATGTTCAGTTTGTGTATACAATACTAGACTATCTCTCCAATAAGCCAAACCTCTATCTGTAAGATACCACTTTGGACTTTAGGTCCACCCATGCCACAGGTTTAATGCAAGTATACATCTGACTAGTATCCTTACATCTGGTCAGCAAATATAGATCTGACTAGTGTCCTTACATCTGGTCAGCAAATATAGGTCTGACCAGTATTCTTATATCTGGTCAGCAAATATAGATCTGACTAGTGTCCTTACATCTAATCAGCAAATATAGATCTGAGTAGTGTCCTTACATCTGGTCAGCAAATATAGATCTGACTAGTGTCCTTACATCTGGTCAGCAAATATAGATCTGACTAGTGTCCTTACATCTGGTCAACAAATATAGATCTGAAAAGTGTCCTTACATCTGGTCAGCAAATATAGATCTGACTAGTGTCCTTACATCTGGTCAGCAAATATAGATCTGAATAGTGTCCTTACATCTGGTCAGCAAATATAGATCTGACTAGTGTCCTTACATCTGGTCAGCAAATATAGATCTGAATAGTGTCATTACATCTGGTCAGCAAATATAGATCTGACTAGTGTCCTTACATCTGGTCAACAAATATAGATCTGAAAAGTGTCCTTACATCTGGTCAGCAAATATAGATCTGACTAGTATCCTTAAATCTGGTATGCAAATATAGATCTGAATAGTGTCCTTATATCTGGTCAACAAATATAGATCTGAATAGTATCTTTTCATCTGGTCAACAAATATAGATCTGACTAGAATCCTTTCATCTGGTCAGCATATATAGATCTGTGTAGTATCCTTACATCTGGTCAGCAAATATAGATCTGACTAGTATCCTTCTATCTGGTCAGCAAACATAGATCTGACTAGTATCCTTATATCTGGTCAGCAAATATAGGTCTGACCAGTATTCTTACATCTAATCTGCAAACATAGACCTGACTAGTGTCCTTACATCTCATCAGCATAGATCTGAATAGTGTCCTTACATCTGATCAGCAAATATAGATCTGACAAGTATCCTTAAGTCTAGTCAGCAAATATAGATCTGAATGGTGTTCTTTCAACTCATCAGCAAAATTTGACTAGGGTCCTGTACACATCTGGTCAGCAAGTATAGATCTGACTAGTGTCCCGGTCAGCAAGTATAGATCTGACTAGTGTCCCGGTCAGCAAGTGATGATGTGCATCCAGTGAATTGGATTAGTAGTATTTATCTAATAATCTACTTAGTGCTAAGTAAAATAAATAACATGCAGTGACCAAAGAAATTAGCATGCTTAGTTAATACAGTGCCTTAAGTTACATTCATGCCAGATCACACGTGTAGAAAAGTGTGTATAACTGACAGGATCTTTGGTGTAGACATGTGTGCATAACTGACAGGATCTTTGGTGTAAATGTGTGTTTAACTGAAAGGATCTTTGGTGTAGACAGGTGTGTATAACTAACAGGATCTTTGGTGTAGACTGGTGTGTATAACTGACAGAATCTCTGGTGTAAATGTGTGTTTAACTGACATGATCATTGGTGTAGACAAGGGTGTTTAACTGACAGGATCTTTCAAAGGTGTTTAACTGACAGGATCTTTGGTGTAAATGTGTGTTTAACTGACAGGATCTTTGGTGTAAATGTATGTTTAACTGACAGGATCTTTGGTGTAGACAAGTGTGAATAACTGACAGGATCTTTTGTGTAAATGAGAGTTTAACTGACAGGATCTTTGGTGTAGACATGTGTATATAGCCAGCAGGATCTTTCGTGTAGACATGTGTGTATAACTGACAGGATTTTTGGTGTAAATGTGCGTTTAACTGACAGGATCTTTGGTGTAAACAAGTGTGTATAACTGACAGGATCTTTGGTGTAGACAATTGTGTATAAATAACAGGATCTTTGGTGTAAATGTATGTTTAACTGACAGGATCTTTGGTGTAGACAAGTGTGTATAAATAACAGGATCTTTCGTGTAAATGTATGTTTAACTGACAGGATCTTTTGTGTAGACAAGTGTGTATAAATAACAGGATCTTTGGTGTAGACAAGTGTGTATAACTGACAGTATCTTTGGTGTAGACAAGTGTGTATAGCTGACAGGATC